CTTAAGTCTAAATGTCAGTCAGAAAGTTCTGCCCACCTGCTCAGAGTGAAATGTATATGATGATGTATGTGATGATAACAGTTATGGTTGTCTACAAAGGTCATTCTCCATGTCTTTTAACCAGGTAGAAAGGAGCTGCCCTAGAAGCAGTAAACAAAAACATGTTTTATGAACAATTTATAAACTCCCACATAAACTCATATATAAGCACTTGCAGGTAAATACTATAAATATATCCTTGTAATGTGCTAGTAATAATTTGAATTTAACGTCATGTCTTTCTTCTTCTGAGGGTTAATCGGTGGGTTGCAAAGCAATCGTAAGGGTGTTTTAAGGTACCCCAGCACAGTTGCCTGCTTTGACTAATTTTTCTGATTTTGCTCAACAAAAGTCAACAAACAGCCGAGAAGAACATATTATGGGGGTCTGTTGTCAAGATTTTTTGTTTACCTCATGTCACATTGTGCTATGCTGCCACTGCCTATGTTGGTAGCACGCTTCACATTCATTTCTGAGGACAACCAACAATGGGGCACGAACATATAGATAAAGAACAGTGTAATCCTAAGATGTGCAGATCTTGTATTAGAAGGAAATCTGATTGATTTTAAAATAGTCATATCAGATTACCTTATTAGATAAGTAAATACACTTGAATAATTGCCAAATAATTGTTTTTTCAGTAAATGCACTCATCAGTGTTACGTCAATAGTGTTATGTCAGTGGTGTTACGTCAGTCGTGTTGCGTCAGTGGTGTTTCGTCAGTGGTGTTGAGTCAGTAGTGTTATGTCAGTGGTGTTACATTAGTGGTGTTAAGTCAGTGGTGTTACGTCAGTGGTGTTTCGTCAGTGGTGTTTCGTCAATGGTGTTGAGTCAGTGGTGTTATGCCAGAGGTGTTACGTCAGTGGTGTTTCGTCAGTGGTGTTACGTCAGTGGTGTTGTCAGTGGTGTCATATCATGGTGAGTTATGCTTCTTTGGCCATAAGAAATCAAACAGTGAATCGGAAGATTTATATATAAAGATTTCAGCATTAAGCATGAAGAAATGTGGAAGTTGAAGAGCCCATCATTCTGCCCACCCTTTCCTTCCCTTTATCGCTCCCTTTTTTTCTACATGGTCTCTCTGTCTCCATCCTTGTTTTTCCTCCCTTGCTGTTGCTCTTTTTAACAGCCCCCCCTCCTTCCCTCTCTCTCTAATGGTGACTGATGAGCTGTCTGAGTGCTGTGTGAAGTTCACTGTTTTAGCCTCCTCAGGTAGAACAGCACACTGAAGTCTCTGTACAGTGGTTTCAGAAGAGAAGACACACCAGATGTTCATATCAACACATAGCCGTTCTTTATCCACATGTTGAGGTGGGCTTGTGCCATAAGACGTGGATTTACTAAGCCAAGCAAGCACATGTGCTTAATTTGGGGCAGACAGGAAGAATGGATGTGTGTAGCATTAAGTTTCTATGACACAATGAGAGCAGGCTGCCTGAAATGCAACCATTTCCTGACCGAGGTGTCATCCATTTTGCTTATAATTGTGCTAAATGAACCATTACCGAAAATCTTCTTGTAAAAGACTGCTCACCTAAAATGATGGTTAATCTCTCCCCCTCTTTCTTTCTCTCCATACCAGACAAACACTCATACACTGCTTCAGTGTAATTACCCACCATATGCCACCAGTGACAGGTACCTGCACGAAAAGAGCATTTTCGTCGTGACTGAATAGCAATCAATGGTAGTACGCTGCCGTTTTGCTGCGCTCTCTCTGAGTCTTAATATCTAGATCATTTCCCAATTGTTCACCATAGAACGTTATGGATGGCGACAATAAGCAACCTCTATGGACATTTTCCACATGTAGCTCTTATACCCTGAGATCGGTTTTAAAATTCCCAATTCGCCTTACCTATAAGGTTCATATTTAGCTCTGCTGATGTTGTTATTTGCTGTGTGATGGATGCTATTTTCAGCCATTTTGGTGCCATTCTCTGCCATTTTACCTGCAGTCCCTCAAGGACAAATTGAGGTCCCTCAGGTACACTGCCACAGCCGGGTGCTGTGCAAACTTCACAGCCCTAAGGATGCTGTAGCCCTTCAGGAGAATACTTGTGGTGAGAGTGTTCCATTAGTGTTATATTTAGCTTCACAAAGCTCTGTGCTATGAACCAGCATGCCTTGCACTAAACTAAGGTTTCAGATCTGATTGAAATGGCATGTGCACAGAGCAGGTTGCGCTGTCCAAATAAACTCTTAAAAAAGTGCCAAAAAGGGTTCTTTCCGAGACACAATAGAACAGGAATCACCAATCTTATCCACAAAGTGGCTGCAGGTTTTTATTCCAATCAGGCAGAAGAACATCTGATTCCACTTCTTTCATCTGTTGATCTCAGCCTTCAAACAGATGGTTAGTCATATGAGGAGTGCTCCTGCTCTGTTGGAATGAAACTTTGCAGCCACACAGATCCTTTGGAGATAAGACTGGTGACCCCTGCTTTAGAAGAAGCACTTTTGGTTCCCTAAAACTCTTCAATTGGTGATTCTTTGAGTAACCATTTTGGTGTGAACCTTCACATAAGTTTTTTGATGTGAAAGTAAGTATAGAGGGTAGAATCCAAGGCATCCAAGCGATGAACCATTTAGAGATTTTTCAAAATAAAGATAGCAAAGTGTTCTTTGGAGCTTTGCCATAGAACACCCCCCCTGACTCCCTAAAGTGGGTGGTTTCTTTTAAGAAAAAAATTTTGAATGAATGCATCCAAGCTGTATTTTTAAAAAATAAGGTGTTAAACAGAACTTAAAAGCATTCTTTGGAGCTATGCCATAGAAAAAGTACTTCTGGTTCCTTAAGGAACATTTTTTGTGGATCTTTTTTAAACAACTATTTTTGCAAATGAGGTGTGGAAGTTTGAAGAATCTTTCAAGTTCACATAATACAAAGGTTGTGTACACTGTTAGAAATAAAGGTTCTGTGCAGGTACATTTTTCATTCATCAAGGTACAAACAGTGTAAATGTTCCCTCAAAGGTACAACAGTGGTTTTAAGGTCCAATTGTGTATCTTAAATAAGTTTTTCCAGGTGAAAAGTATGTATTTGTACCTTTTCATAACGTAATGTTTTAAAACTGAACAATAAAATAAAAAGCCTGGAGGCGAGACAGGGTGTGTGGAGTCAGTGCAACTTAGCAAATATGATATCAGTGGATTATGGTACAGTTATGTTCCCTGACTAAAGGTATTGAGATGTACCCTTGAGGGTACCACCCTAGTGACAAGAGGGGTACTGCACCAGTGAAAGTTTAATAGCTTTATTTCTGAAAGTGTAGCAGTTTTAGTTTGTTTCATTCCCTCTTAATCATTGGTACCACAAAAGATTCTTCGAGCAATGCCATATAAGGACCACTCTTGGTTCCCTAAAGAACGGTGTCTGGAAAAGGTATTTGTGATTTTAAAGAACAATTTAAAGGTACACACCTAAAGAAATGGTTCCTCAAGGGTTCTTTAGTAAAGAAAATTGTTCTGTATAGAACCATGAACATTTAAAGATCCCTTGGCATGATTAAACAGTTCTTTGCATCATCAAAGAGTTCTTCAGATTGATGCAGAATGTGTTGCTTAAGCTTCTATACAGAACCTTTTTGAAAATGGTTCTATATAGCACCAAAAAGGGGTTCTGCTATTGTTACAATAGGAACTTGAAGAACCTTCTTTTTAAAGAGTATATAAAGAACCTGAAAACAAACATATCATGTGAAGGTTCTTTAAACGTTTTGAAAGTAATTCACACTCATGCGTCTCATTTACAGAAATGATTCTCTAAAGAACCACCCACTGAAAGGTTCTTTAGGGCAGTGGTCCCCCAGATGGTCTTAATTTTTGCTCCAACTTGAAACACATAGATCAAATATATGAGCCACTTGGGGCTAGTTTGAGAACTGCTGCTTTAGGGAACTAAAAGTTGTTCTTTTATGGCACTGTGCAAAAAATCCATTCGGCACCCTTATTGTTAAGAGTGCAGAACTATGCATCCAAGCTGTGAACCTTTATTCTAAAGAAGTGGTCCACCGTACATGCATTCAGACACTAAACTGACGAGGCTCTGTAGGTTTAAGGTTTCCTGCACTCACACAAAGCCTGATGGTTCTAGCTGAATAAGTATACAAGACCAATGTCTTCATATCTGTGATTAGTTAAGGTGCTTCACACCGGGGACTGTGAGCGAGGCGGGCTCATTTGACAACAAACCAAAGACGCGCCTTGAGATGAAATCCCACCTGACTCCACCAATGTGCCACCAATTAAATTTGATCGATGTTAGTCGCTACCAACAGCGGGAAAAGTTTATGCATCTCCTCTGAGTATATGATATCCAACATTACTTTCTTATTTGGGTCCTCACAGATTACTTACTCCCCACCCCCACAGCACGAAACAGCAAACTACAGGATAATGAATCCATTTTCTGACTCAATCTCAGTGGGAGCGGACTCAGATCCAGAACACTGTCTTATTTAACACACCTGATTCAACTCCCCAGCTCATGACTAAGACCTCCATGAGAGTTAGATAAGAGACAACATTCATCTTTGCAGGACTGTGGTCCTTCAGGACTTGACTATTACTCCCCTAAACTGTCCTGTAGACATCATGAAGGGAACTCCCCCATGCGCTGTCCATGGTGCTGACCATGCAAACTTCCTTTCTTCTCCACAGCCCTGACCACACGTTTCCATACTAACGCTTCTTGTTAAAGCCAAATAAATAGATATATTTATTAATTAGATCAATTATAATTAATTAAAAAGTCATTTTTGGATCAGTTATGATCTTTACTCCTCTTTTACTGTTACAGACTCTGAATTCGACTTCATATCCCTGAATAATAGCATATGTATGTCATACAATACACATTTTTATATTCACTCTACTCCTAATTGAAGTCTGAACAGCGTCGAAAAGTTTATCCAGACAGCAGCTAATTAAGTCGAAAAGCGCCGTAATAACTCACGTGTGCCGTCAAAGCGCGTGGCTATGGTGTCCAGAAAGGTGTTCTGAGGCGCGAGCAGTCCCTTCATAACAGGCATTTTCGCGCGCGGTGGTCGAAGTCCCCATCAAAGTTACGGAGCGTCACCGGAGCCGAGGCTGGACGTGATGAAGAGTAGTCCAGGAAAAAAAGCCGCGCAGCGCTGGGCAGGGCCGGACAGGGCTGTGTCCGTCTCCGGTGTGAGCGAAGCGGCTGAATGAGAACCGCGGGTGCACATCAGGTGAGCGGCTCTGAACAAGCGCGAGGAGATGCACGAGCGCGAGGACTCACTCAACACTGCTCAGCATCCTAACGTCCCACTCTTTACATACCTTCTCCACCCTGTTACACAGCACATCCTCACTGTTTACCGAGGAAGTGAGCAATAATAATAATAATAATAATAATAATAATATTTGTGTATAGTAACTTTAATTTCCTACATCTTTACTTTTCATCGTTTCTACATTCGAAATATATTTTATCATATTAATATACACATATATATATTATCGCATGTCAAGAAATCAGATTAAAGAAACAGCAAAAACAAAAAACAGGCCATTAATATGCTTGCCTACAGAGCTCGCATTGGCCTAATTATCTTTGGCATTTCCAACAACGCTTGACGGTCTACAAGGTCTGGCTGCGTCTCAAATCGATTCCTAGTTCTGCATGTAATGAATTATCTACAGAAGTGAAGTGAGTCAGCTGTAGAGGTTACTCTGTGAGAGGAGCCTGAGTACCTGGAACATCGGGCAACCCTTCAGGAAGACATGTGACGTCACACGTAAACAACCGGCACGATTAACTTCGAAAGCAGCAACGAGCTAACTGCTACCTAACTGCTAAATCTATGACAAACGATCTAGCAGCTAAAAAAAAGAGCTTCATGTATTGTTTGTTGTGTCATGTAGTTAGACAGAAACTACATTATTTTGACAGAATTCATGACTTTATATCATTTTCATATTTTCATTTATTAATGTTTTTTTTTACTTCAGTGGCCAGCATGAATTACACAAATAGCCCTTATCATACAACCATCAGGAACATCTGTAGTGTCAATGAATTCTGACTGCTAGCCTAGCCGCTGAACTAAAGGCTAATAAGGCTGCGTTTATTAGCTGGTGGGAACTGTATAGTTTCCAATTTCCAACGTCCGAGTGGGAAAATTCCATTTGAATGTTCCTCCCACTTTGAAAGTCTTGGACAGCTCCAACTTCTCTGACTTGCTATTCTGTGATGTTGTTTCAACAAGGTGGAGACCTTAAAGCAATTAGTAATAGTGTATTAAAAGCTCTTTAAACAGACTATTGAGTTTCTAGTTGAATATCATACGCTAGTTGTATATGATATTGCTAAACACAGAGGGATACTTGGATAATTGTAAGGTTTCGCTGCCAGTGCAATATATTTGGTCGATTTGTGTTTTTATATTAACAGTGAACTGCAATAGCCAACAGCCACCTTAACAATAAATGAATCACTAACAAGACAACTCTATAACAAAAATGTAAACGTTTTAGAAGTTTTCATATGTACACAGCAGGCAAACAAGACTTGCATGATTGCTTTTAGGTGGGAAGGAGGAGATTCCGAAAACTCTGAGCTCCTTGTTAGCATGAAGGCAGCATTACTACAACCAAGACAGCATTAATCATAAAGAAAACAGCAATTCTGTTTTTAATCAGCACAAAATAGACACCAGAGACAAAAAAAAAAAATCCCCAAACAATCCACACCAAAGCAGCTGTTGTTTTTCAAAAGTTCCTCCCACCTTCATAATACATCATTACAAGGAAATTTTTGTAGTCTTTAAAGTAAAAAATGTCACTCTAGAGAACAACTGCAGCACCACTGTGGGATGTGAGTAGACACGTTTACAATAAATGTAACAATGGTTAAATAATGATCATGTTTTATAGACTAGGAGTGTATAAACTGTAGACTTCAGACATTAGCATAGCAAGATGCCTTTCAATTTTATGTCACAATCCAATAGCAATAAGGTACTCCAATCAATCCTATGAGAGATGCACTTTCAGCTGATGTCATGTGTGTGAATTATCATTATCTGTGTGAGCTATAAAAAGTTTAAATTTACAACCCCATTTCCAAAAAAGTTGGGACGCTGTGCAGAATGTAAATAAAAATACAATGTAATAATATGCAAATCATGTAAACCATATTTTTAAAGGTTTAGCACCAGGACTCTTTTGATACAGAGCCATGCTGTTGTAATACATGCAGAATGTGGTCTGGCATAGTCTTGCTGAAACAAGCAAGGCCTTCTCTGAAAAAGACGGCATCTGGATGACCGCATATGTTGTCAAAACATATATATATCGTTCAGCATTAATGGTGCATTTAATGGTGCCTTCCATGATTTCCAAAAAAAAAAATTCAAATGTTGATGCATCACATCACAGGACACTTTTCCACTTCACTGCAGTCCATTTTAAATAGCTCAGGCCCAGAGAAGGTTGCAGCATTTCTGGATCCTGTTTATGTACAGTTTCTTCTTTGTGTTTTAGAGTTTTAATTAGCATTTGTGGATGCAGCGACGAACTGTTTTCACAGACAGTAGTTTTCCGACATGTCCCTGAGCCCATGCAATGATTTCTTCTACAGTCTGTTTTTAATGCAGGGCTGCCGGAGGGCCCAAAGATCATGGCCAGCAAATACTGTTTTTTGGCCTTGTCCCTTGCTTACAGAGATTTCTCCAGATTCTCTGAATCTTTTAATGTTATTATGTACCATAGATGATGAAAAGCAAAAGTTTTTTGCTATTTTATGTTGAGAAACGTTATTCTTGAATTGTTTGATTGTGCAGTCTTTCACAGAGTGGTGAACCCTTCCTCATCTTTACTTCTGAAAGACTCAGCCTCTCTGGCATGTTACTGACCTGTTGCCAATTAACCACCAGATTTTGTTTAGCATTAAACAACTTTACCAGCCTTTTGTTGCCCTGTCCCAACTTTTTTTTAAATGTATTGTTGGCATCAAATTCAAAATGAGCAAATATTTTTCAAAAAAACAATAAGATTTCTTAGTTTCAACATTTGATTTGTTGCCTTTGTACTATTTTCAATGAAATATAGGGTTTAAATGATTTGCACATCATTGCATTTTGTTTTTATTTACATTTGCACAGCATCCCAACTTTTTTGGAAATGGGGTTGTATAAAATAATTGCTAAAATAATTGCTATCTAACATTAGCTAATGTTAGCTTACCATGTTCATATGAGAAAGGTTAATGTTAGCAGAGCAGTCTGCTAATTAGCTAAACTCTTATCAAGTTCAGTTAAGACAGATACTAATGTGCAAACCCCTGGGGAAACAGTATGCCCCAACGGTTGTGATGTTTGCAACTGGTTAAGGGGATTAATCCAATCCTTTTTTAAAGTTACCGTGTCTCACGCTTCCTTTGAAAAAAATATGTTATTCATAAATTATGCACAGAAGTTCAGGAGGGTGGATGGTAAATTGAAAAGAAAAAAATGGATTTGGGGTTTAGTTGTCAGTTGGTTTGATTTACAAAGCATTCTGGGATACACCAGATTGGTTAGAGTACACATTCAGCAGTGAGATTGTCTCAACCCTCTGGTTTTGATCACCTCCACCATGTATTTGAATATTAAAAGTTATGATAGGCTCTGTTCTGGTGTTCATGTCCTTTGGTGGTTCAGGATAACCCACATGCAGAAGTGGAAACAACCACACAGTATTGAGGAAACACATTATGTCCTCTGTAGGCTGCATAATGTGAACAGACTACCCCATGTGGCTACCATTTGGTGTTTGCACTCCTTCCCGCAGGTGAGCAACATCAATAAGGCTTTACACACCAGCCTCTACCTGCTTCTAGTATTCAGGGGACTTTAGTTTGAAGACTCAGACACATAAAATATATAAGAATATAAATATAAATATATACACATCATGAGGGTTTTGATGAAGGCCTGTAGAGTTTGTTGCAATAGGCAAAAAGCCAGTGGTATATTGACATGCAGTAAAATCCCCATTGTTGAACACCTACACAGTTGAATTAACAGAGTGTTAAGATTTAAAGTGTTCAATGACAATTTACAGTGCTGAATAATCACGGTGTTGATATCTACAGTGAATTAACAAAGTGTTCTTTTAAAACCTACGGTGTCCAATTAACATCTACATCTAATTGTTATTATTTATTATATTTACAGTGTTCAATTACCAGTAACTACATATTGAATTAACCCAGCGTTAACACCTACAATATTTAATTAGCAGGGTTGGATTTTATTGACCCCTACAGAATTTAATTATCACCAACAGTATTAGCTTCTACAGTTATTTGTGTCTAGTTGGGCTTAAATGAACACTGTAGGTCTTAAGTCAACCTTGAACATATTAAAATAGCACAGCAGGTGGTAACATTCCAGGTTCTAGTTAAACACTCTGGATTTTTTCTTTCTATTATGAAGATGTTAAACAGACCTTAAAGAGACTTTGGACAGAGAGGGACCACCCTCGACAGACTTTAATTGCATTGCATAACTCTTTACTGCCCCCTCCTGTTACTACTATGGCACTGCATCAAAAGCACCACAGACAACCGCCATGTTCGAACATGTTTTACAATAATAGAAACTGTTAAAGAAAGTATTATGAGCAAAATTAGATATAGCGTCACATAACCTCCTTTGCACTCAAAAAAACTTTTAAGGTTCATGTCCAAACAACATGGATCTTCTGGCCGAATTTACTTCCAGATAATTCCTCTATATCTACAAAAACTGTTTGGCAACGATCTCAGACTCCTGACCTAAAGCCGGTTGAACTTTAGGTCACCCTAACATTCTTAACCCTGGATAAACAGAAGAGGACAGTTCAAGTGAGGACTTCATTTGATTCATTAACACAGACCATTCTAGTGAACTAGTTCAAACTGTGGTCCTACAGAAAAAAATAAATCTTAGAAATAAAAAAAAAAAAATATTCAGATCTTAGACATTTACAAGGAATATGTTATGATCTGTTTAGACCTAAGGTATTAACTGTGATAATAATAAGTTAAATACATACAAAATCATCATTTATAGGGCACTTTTTATTGGGAGGTGTCTGTCCCAAATAGTTTATTTGATTTCTGCTAAGTGAAGTTGAACGATTTAGATTTATCATAAGAAAGGAAATGAAATTTTAAAACTATTTAAAAAATGCTGTCCCACGTTTTCATGTCACTACAGAAACATAAGAAGTGTTACTCCATAGGCAGAGTCTTATTTTAGCCACACCCCTGCCTTTTAAAGCAGGAAGTGAGACTGGATCCCTGTCCCTCATGGACACATGGTGAGCAGTTAGATCAGTTAGATCTCATTGTTTTAAAGAAAATGTGTCCCAAAGTCTAAAAAATCAGTGTATAACTTTAAGAATTGTCAACAAATATATATATATATATATATATATATATATATATATATATATGCTTATAGTGCTAGTTTATATATGCTTATAGTGCTAGTTTGGTTGGTGTTATGAGTGTTTTGGTAGTTCCAAAACGGAACGTTCAATCATTTGATTAAATCAAATAAACACAATTAAGGTTTAGGATCATTAGGGTCATTAAAAGTCAAAGTCTGTTAGAGGTTTTTGAGCTCTGACTTTGAACCAGTTCAATATAATGATTTATGTACATTATAGGTCAAAAGTTTGGATGTGACACCTCAAAATAAAAAAAAAAAAGTATTTTTTGTTTTTAAGCAATAATGGATAGTAATGTGTTTACTGACACAGAACAAAAGGGTTTGATGAAAAGTCAGCAGGAATAATGTACAACTAACTGATTCTTCATTCATTTTTCTTTGAGTGATTCTTCTGCAGAGTTTTATCACAGAGTTTGATCACATTCAGATCCACCAAATTCCTACATTCAGGTGGTTCTGAAGGCTTGATAAACTGAATCAGCTGTGTTAAATTAGGATTGTAAAGAATTAAAAACTGCTACATTTAAGGGATTCTTACTGTTAAGAGACTCTTAGGCTTTAGGTTCTAGGCCCATATAATTGAAAACATCAAGCCCAAACTTTTCAGCAGGACCTCATTTTCTCTGTGTAAGAAATCAATCCAGCTTAACTCTTTTCTCTGGAATGGTAGTTGTTTGTCCTATTGCCTCATTGGAAAGAGCATCAATCTTAATCATTTCTTCTTTCATTCAATTTGTTACCTCAGTGAGTATTCTCACTAATTCTACAGATTTTCTAAATTTCTCCATATGAAATTTGGTTGAGATGTAAACAAAGTCATTCAGAGCGATTTGATAGTGCATGCTCTGTTTCTAGAGAAACTTACCTGCTTGGATTTCTTTACAATGGTGATGAGGGACTAATGATTACAGATTATAAATAAAGTCTGGAGCAATCGATCTTCCTTTTTCTCCTCCTTCTTTCTTACACACCCTTTAAGCTTATACACTGCTGTTGTGCAAACTGCAGTTCTGTTGGTTTTTTGTATCTTAGACATAAATGAATGAATCAGAATCAGAATTTATGGCCAAGTATGTGGACACACAAGGAATTTGGTTCCAGCTGCTGGTGTCTCTCTAGTATTAAATGCAATATGCAAGCAATGTACAAATAATTTACATACAATACACAATGTACAATACACACCACATGTGTCAGGCTCCAGTCCTTGCAAGCCAAAACACTGCAAACTTCAGCACACTACCTCAGTAAACACACCTGATTCAGATCATCAGCTGATTAGCAAAGCCTGTACATTGTGTAATATACAGACAATGTACATATTATTTACAGACAATACAAAATATAGAAGCAACATACAGATTATGTATGGGCAAGACATACATACATAAGTGTGTGTGGTAGTGCAAAGAACAGTAATCTACATCATGCATGAGAATGAAATTGTGGTGCACAATGGTATGAGTCTGTAGCAGGGTATAATAACTATCTGGAGAAAAAAAAATAGGAGTAGCTATACCCCACCAGATAATGTTACTGGTCTGCTATTTCCGAGGGTGATGGTGAGGGTGACGGCATGAGAAAAGAAACTACTCCTTATGTCTGGCAGTCTTATAGGGTTCTGTAGTGCCTGCCAGACAGGAGGAGTTGAAAAGGGTTGTGTCTAGGGTGTGAGGAATTAATTAAGTACATGCTGGAGTGAAACTACTTTCCATCTACACTACTTTGAGTACAAATGAGTTTTTGGATCAACTGTAATGTAAGAATAAACCTAAAAGTAGGGATGCATTGATATTGACATTGCAAGGTGATGCAGATATTGATACTTTTTATGTACATATATGCTGATGCAGATACATAAACATTTGGAAACAGAAAATGGGATGAAATCTAGCTGGATTTGTATTACAGAGAAATAAAACAAGTACTTTTCCTTTGGTTACAGATTATAAAAAGAATAAAAGGCTGACATTTTAGTGCAGTAACCTAGCTTCGTTTTGGTTTGTAACATTGTTCGAATCTAAACATCTGTCCAATGTCAATAATGTTTTTTTTAAGAAACTACCTGCAGATATGATTACAATGTCATAGCGCAATCTTACCTAAAAATTAAACATATTGTTATTTTATCACTCAAGTGGTAAATGTGCATCATTCTACTCCATTGGCTCAAAGTCAGAGTTCAAAATCTCTGTATTTATTTGTTGGTTTGAGTTATGTGTATGTTTTTATTTTGTTGTTTTTGCTTCTTGTCTGAATTTTCCTGTTCCACCATAAACCATTTAACCCTTCTGTGGTGTTGCGGTCTGTGGGACCCATTTTCAATGTTTACCAAAAGAAAAAATGTTGCAAAATATTATTTAAACCCCTGATTCCTTGGCCTTTGTTCTGTAAAGAACTTATAAAATAACACATTTTCAATGACTTCACACTGTACACCCCCTACACATTTATATTACACATGTGCTGTTGGGGTGAACCTGCGGGGAGGTATGGGGGTGCTGTGTCCCTTCACTCTGTTCTCCTTCTACATGGCCTGCTGTTTGTATATGTGTCTGTGTGAGTTTGACACGGCCAGGCTGCTGACTGGCTACAGCTGCTAAAGGCGATCCCTATGCTGGACACTTGTGATATTTTAAACATCTGGTCATTTTTACATAAATTGTTATGGCTGTACTGATTTAAAAAAACAATAATGTGGTGGGTCCACCTGACTACTGAGTAACAAAAACATGAACACCACACAAGGATTAAGGTGGAACGGGGAAACTTTCAGACAAAAACTGGCGAAAAAGAAGCAAAATTTAGCCTCGTAGTTTTAACACTGGCAGAATTTTTTGATAAGGAGTTGTAGGCTATCAACAGAGGTTTTTCGATTTTTCTGCAGCAATCATGCCACGGTCAATACCACTGAGCTAATGTAAGCATTATCTAAAGCTACTGGCCCATATCTGCAGAACATCTCAGTTTAGTAACAGTGTCTACCCTTCCGCTATCAGACTTTAAAAATGTTTATATTATATATATATATATTCTATTATATATTCTATTATATATATATATATATATATATATATATATATATATATATATATATATATGTGTATTATATTATACATATATATATATATATATATATATATATGTACACGCATGATTTTGTCTCTGGTATAAGTAAAAAACTCTTCAATGGTTCTTCATGGGTGTGTGTGTAACAGTAAAGTAGGCCACCAAAAGAGCATACTGAAATTAAACACAAAATATTAGTTAATCTGAATGATATGAATCTTAATGTAAAAAAAAAATTAAGGAAAAATGTATCAACATTTTACTTACCAAGATGTTACCAATGAAATGTAACTACTACTTACCTATATGTGCTTGTTAAGTAAACAATGTGTTTAAATGTGATTGTAAAAGTCATTTTTGTTGCTTTTTTCACTGCCCCTAATTATATTATTTTAGAAGAGTTGTCTGTACTCCTACTCAGAAAAGTGACTACAGTTTCTCTCTTTGCTTTAATCATGTGCTGTTTTGTTTTAATTATTAATTTAAAACATTATTATTAATTTTATTATAGGGGCGGCACAGTGACACTGTTGCCTCACAGCAAGAAGGTCCTAGGTTCCTTTCCCCAGCCACGAGACCAGGGCACCCCGCAAACTCTTGCACGTTGTCCCCGTGTCTCTGTGGGTTTCCTCCCACAGTTCGCAGACATGCAGTCAGGCGAACTGGAGATACTAAATTGCGCCTAGGTGTGAATGTGTGTGTCTGCCCTGCGATGAACGGGCGGCCCCGAGACCCAGGTGGAGAGAATGAATAAATACTTTTATTATGTTATTAGCAAAATTCCACATTCATTAATATAATGCTGCGTTCGGATGCTCACAGGTTGTATATACCAGATGGTTAACTTAACTCTGTTGGGGTGTTCACATTCACTTGAAGTTTAGCATTCTTCACTTGTGTAATCATCGCTATGCTGACTATTACTGACATTGCCAATATACGAAATTAAACAAATTTAAAAATGCGTCAAGATTAAGAAAGCCGTAAAAACATTGAGACTGTGTAAACCTTTTTTTTTTCTATGATGTGGTGCCTGTCTGATATGTGAACCCTCTGACTGTCTTGAACAGTTAATAAAATGTGATTGTGGGATTTTTACAGTACATGTGGGGACTTTGATTTTGTCTCTTTTGGTCGCTCTCGCGTGGGCTTCGGAATCACGTCACGTGAGGAGCAGCTGCCGCGCGACACTTCCGCCTGGTCTCGCGCGAGTGTTTACTTGCTGAATGCAGAATGGACAGAAGCGGGTGAGTGTGTTTACACTGTTTACAGTAAAGTAAGACTCGCCGAATTCACTCTAGTGTGACGAAGCACCGCCAGGTGTGACGGTCAGCGAAGACATTAACGCGTGTAAGTGTCCTGTGTGTGGAACCGCGGAGAACGGAAATGTGAACTTGGCTGGCTAGCAAGGCCTGCAGTGTCTTCGAAAGAGAGAGAGAGCAGCGAGCTTCCCGGCTATTCACTCCTCTCACCCATTTCCCTTATTTTTAGGACTCATTGGTAACTTTGCTGACTCTTACAGCTGGAAAACCACGTTTGTTAGTCCTGTGATCAGCTTTCGTGAATGTTTTTCCTCACTTCTAAAATTCTACCGCTGCGTTAGCAGCAGTGAGCAATGCGCGAATGACTGGTGATTGTACCGAGTCAGTCAGACAGTTCGTTGGGAATATAACATGTCAGTTCGTAGCTGCTGTGTTTTCTGATCACTTGAATTTATTGTACGAACGCTGCATTGTATGAAACGGCAGCTGTCAAATTTGTGTTTTGAAGTAGGGGGTCAAATGACCAAACTGTAATGTCAGGACACTTATAGATGTTTTCTTGATACACCTGAAAATATTAAGATATGAAAAAGCCCCAACCTGTATAAATTAGGGCTGTTATGATTTATTGATGACATTAAAAAATGTACCTTATAAATCAATCAGTAGTGATTAGTTGCCATGTTTGCATATTTGCATTTTAGTTGGCAAAATAATGCATGTGTTAAATACTCCTATTGGCGTCTTGTCAGTATTTTCAGACTGGGTGGCTACCAAGCTACCAGTGTCTGTGGCTACCAAGCTGCCAGTCTGATATTTTGTTTTTCTGAAATTTTATAAGTTACAACAGACAAATAGACTAGTAGTGCCACAGTTAAAAAAGATGTCAAAACTGTCTCTATAGTGATATTTATTTAACAGTTCACATACTGCACTACACTAAATCCTGTTAAATTTTAAATTATAATAGTACATTCGGTTGTTTAGTGTTTTTTAAGTACTGACGGCATCCATAATATAGAAAAGTGCATTGTGATCAAATCTATTGCAATAACTAGGGATGCACAATGATATCAGAATCATATTAATCTCAGAAGAAAATGCTTTAAAAATATTGCCATCACACAGATGTTCAGATTTGACTGCTATTTCAAGTGGTAATTCAGGTAGATTAAGTCTACAGTTTCTACATTTTAGCCAATGTTTATGTATCAGCATCAGTAGATATGTACATGAAAAATACCAGATAGGCAACGGTTCCTATATCAGTGCATCCCTAATGACAACCATAAAACATTGTCCTAATGTGTTGTATCTGTGGTACATGAGTGCTAAGGCCATCCACAATTTACTGTATGTCCTGCATGTATGAAGGCTGGATTCATTCAAACTCTGCTTGATTTTTATATGTGTGAGCAACTTTTTTATGGATCAAACCTTCTTTAATTAATGAGCTCACCTAATGGTTCACCTCCCATACCCCGAAATATCTGCATTTATAATCTTAAGTGAGTTAGAACCGCCAACACCACCATATCAGGGAAAGTTTTGACTCGCTCATTGTTATTTTAGCAGTTTGCCTGGTGAACCTACTGCTGCCACATATTATCACATATGATCTTATGTTGGAGATCCCATATTTAATCATGATACTTTCATAAAGGGGTGGTGTCATTTGCTTTGATTTAGTTTTAAAGTTACAGCATTGTGTCATATTAGCTTCTCTCGTGGTGAATTATGACATTGTGGGCTTTTTCTCATTTGTTTATGACCTCAGGGTGTCAAGTCAGAACAACAAAACAATACAAGCTTGTAGCTTCACCATCACAAGACTAGCTTCCAAAGACACAGACACACACACACACACTGCACACAGAGGAGTTCAAAATGCATGGCGCGTTTAAACTGTTGCAGTATTCATGAGCAAAATTTGCTTCGATATCTAATGTGTCTTTTGTTTGAGATGTTGAACAAAGAGTTGTTTGGGCTGTTTTCATTTCATTAACAATTTCACTTTGTAGAGTTGGGAGGAAAAAAACAACATTTTTTTTTTTTTACGTGTAAAGAGTTGGTCTATGGACTAATAAGACACCAGCATCCATTGTTGTCTTAAGGCCTATTCAGATTGGATTAGTTTGTGAGTGGGACGTCTACAATACGATTTTTATACTCTTCCATCCGAACCGCAATAAAAGTACCACAGGATGAGTGAGTTTCTAGGAGGTTGTATCTTCTATGAACCCAGATGATTTATTATACATGATCAGATGATCATAGAAAACTAAAAGTTCCTGACATTGTGAAAATAAAGTAATGCTTTATTCCTATAGCTGCCATTATAGTCGCCCCTTCAGTCAGCCTGTGGGGTCTTGCTTTTCTGTTTCACTGTGTTTGCTCTCTCCTCCTGCTAATACTCTCCCAGTGTAGAGAGGATGGATGTGAAGTTCTGCCACCCAAACCAAATAAATGGTTGACAGACTCTTCCAAAGCATCCATTGGAAGTGTTTAATATGGATATGCAGAGGTGGGCAATGTGGCAAAAATATAATATCATGATACTTCAAAACATTTTTTTGATGATACATGACATACATCACAATATTTTTGTTTTCTGAGGTTTGATTATTTAGAACTGACAAAAGCTCCAGCAGTGCCACATTTAAAAACTGCTGTACAAAATTAAGTACAATCTTTTTTACATACTGCGCTGCACTAAATCCAGTTAACCAGGCCTAATTATGTCCTTTTAGTAATAAAACATGCAGGTAAAATTGAAAGAAGTAACATTAATGAATCAGGAGGAAAAATGGTGAATATGCACTGCTGCACATCAGCCTGTAAAGCCTGAAATAATAATTTGAGTTGTTGGGTCAGATTTTGTGGGAGTTTTTCTGACTGTATTATATGTAGTAATGTCACATGCACAGTCTCAAGAAAAAGGTCCCTCTCAATGTTAGGTCTCAAATGCAAAATCAACTTTATACTAATGAGCAAACGATGATGATAGTAGATAATTCACTTACAATCTTGGAAGACACATTTTTCAGTTCTCTTTCAACTCTGTCTCAGTCGTCAGATTCATCCACTCAAAGAGCACAACCGACAGTACAAAATGTTCTTATGCACATTGCATGTAAATACATATTTCCACTAGAGAGATCCCCAGATCTTACATGGTGCAGCTTAAGTACTCCATATCCACTAAGACACTAAAAATGCCAAGTAGTGGCTGTCGAAAGCATTTTTTTTTTTAACGTGAGGTGACATCTGCCAGGAAAATAACGGAGATGTGTATATGAACGGGACTAAAATGTTTAGACCACCACTGAGTTTGGTTTGGTGTGGAGTTATCATACTTTTTCTTTAGTTTGGTCCGTTTTGACAGGTGTGAATGTTCCACCCATATTCAGGTGTACGTGGTCTGGCAAAAATCATGCGTCTCTGTGTGCTTCCAAATGAATCCTGGTTTAGTATACTGTACGATGCTGTACTGCCCACCTAATCTGCCTGTTTTGATGTCTTTTGAAGTTGCTCTTGCTGCATGAACAGTAATAACAGCGTATGAGTAATAAAATAATAGTGAAACAATGTCTTTAATTTTATGGTAGCATATGAGAGTACCACTTTCCTGACCAATAAACAACCTTTCATGTATAATTTTGTGCACTTCGGCAGTTGAAATGTGAAACCGACCAGACCAAATGAAAAAGATACAGTGTCACACAATTCCAACTCTGGTCCAGACTTTAGTCAACGAAAAATGCATGAAAACAACCTAAATGTTTATTGTTAGTCTCGGCCTAGTATTCTCTTATGTCAAAGTTTTGTGTTTACCCACTGGCCCCCAGAACAGCATGCTCCTTTTTTTCTCTTATCATATTTCAATACTTAGTATACCACAAATCTATAAAAACCACAGAGGAATCAAATCATAGCTCAAGTAATACTGTATTATGGTGCTTATAGTGATTTCCTTCCCACACAGGGAAGACAGGGTCTGTCTGTGTTTTAGGATTATTATTTCTTGAACCGTTCATGAATTCACCCTGCAGGACTTCTTTGAGCCTTCTCATCCACCAAGTCTCCTGGGAATTTGGAAAGAAGTGGTGAGGCTTGGCAGTAGGCCTCCATCTCTGAATGTGTTTTCAGCCAAAGCTTGGTTCGCTGTCTATTGTGTGATGGGCAAAGAGCGGCTGTGAGGATTAAAGCCGGTTAATGGTTTTGCTTAGGCAGTGTTATTGTTTTAATCACCAGGTTTATCCTCAGTTCTGAAAAAGACCACATTTCTTTGTTCAGAGAAGAAGCAGCGTAGGATGACAGCGCCTCTTAGTGCATTCCAATGTTGTGTTAATTAGTATGCTGTGCATTTTGCAGTCTGTGTGGTATGACTGTAATCTTGGCTCCCAGAGAAGTGCTAGCAGCTCGTAGAATTCCTTGGGGTCATATGATTGGTGCGGGTGCCCTGCTATGTAATTGGCTGATGAAGTGAAGGCATGTGAGTTTATTTAAGAAGATTTAGGCTGCTTCAACCAGGAGCCCTTCTCACTTTTGTACTCCGTGTTGCTGTAGACTCAGAGTGCTGTGCTCATTCTCGCATTCTCAGTTTAACGCCTGGTGGACACAGGGCTGTATTTCAGCAAAGCCGTGGCATGCAGTTTAACAATGAATAACAATGATTCCAAAAATCAGATAAATTAGACCCGTTGTAATTTATTGATTAAACTTACATTTTTTTTTTTTAATTTAACGTATAAGTGAATCAATGGTGATTTGTTGCCAGCTTGCATATTTGCATATTAGTTGGTAAAATTATACATATTTTAAATGCTGGTACTGGTGTCTTATCAGTAATTTAAGGCTTAAAGCTACCAGTGTTGTGGAAATGTGGTTTACTAGTTTTTAAAGTATTTTGGAATCCTTTAGGCTATGCATGGTTTGTTGTTGTAAATAAGGGCAATATTTACATTTCCCTGTTTTTCTTCTGGTAAATCAAGTTTCTTTTCTAGAGCGTTCTTCATTCTTTGCTCTCAGTTCCTCCTTTTGTAGAACAAGAAATACTCACACGCTCACACTGCCTCTTGGGTACAGAACAAGCACAATAAGTGAAGTGAATGAGAACTGAAACACGTGTCACGTCATCCTGTTGGCTTTTGTAAAAAGCAGTGATGTTTGACAGGATGAAAGTTGCTCTGAGAGAAAGCTATTGGCAGCCTTAAACTTAAATCCCTCTCTCTGCTTCCACCTCCTTTTGCACATTCCCACAAACCTTAGCCATTTTGGAGTGTGTCCTAAAATGGTTGGCTGCAAGTGGGGGTGGATCACAAAAATCCTCCAGATGCACAACAGTTACCAAAGAACATGAAGAACTTTTCTAACCCCAAATTCTTTGAGATGGGACGGAACAGTATACAGTAGAATACACCCAAATGCAAATTTTATGCAAGATAACAATGTTGAAACATATACATTTAAACATTGCTTACATTATTGATGCATAAATGTTTCACAAATTTACATATCTTGCTATTGTTAGTGGTGCAACAGGATATGAAAAGCATAGTAATATTACAGTGCACAATACATTAAATTACTGAATAGTATACATGAACCAGAGATGCAGTAAGGCAACAAAGACAACATAAAGCAAATATTTTTTATGGCATAAAAAGTTATGGCACCTTTTATATGTTGTATCCCCCCCCCAGTATATTAAACTCAGCAAATAAATAGAAAATGTGTTGCAGACAAACAGCTCCTGCTTCCCAGTTCTAGTGTCTAATGTTAGTGTGTGATGGTTATGGTTATATGGTTATAGTCGCAATTTTTCTCCATTCAAATAATAAAACTCTTCAAAATATCATGAGTACCCAATCATGAACCTAGCATTGTGAATCAAATCCAATCCAGTCATGACATGAGTGCATTGTTATATCCTTAACAATGTTTGAGCAAGTTAGCTTAATTTTGAACAGACAGATGTTTTACCCAGATTCTTAACATTTTCGGAAGAAAAGTAACCAAAAATGCGAAATTAGCACATTTCTAGCCAACATTACTCAGAAGTAATACATTTTGATAGTAAACATTATGAATTTATATGCTGTCCGTTTATTCATCTACATTATAATCAACTGAAATGAATTGGAGAAGCAGTCAATTTCCCAATTTTTTAAAAGTGTACTTAGTGTTTACAGTTTGTAGTGTACGTACTGGTGAAGTTTATGTGCACCGAAGTCATGCAAAGAGAATTTACGGACCGTCTTGTTAATGAATATTGCCCTCAACAGAGACCTGTTAAGTTCCACAGTTCTCCCAGATGAAGTAGGAGGTATACTAGCAGTCATGTGAGCGTGTGTAGGGCTGCAGCAATCACTGCAACACCCCAGTGGTGGCACTGCCAAACACAACATTGGGCACATCATAACCTGACATGGTTCCTTTTTTTACACTCATGAAACCACAACTATGAAACTACAGCTATACCGTAACTGTGCTGCTTCTGCATGTCTTTCAAGCTGGTGCTGTGTTAGAGCAGTGCAAGAGGAACCTACTTAGAAAGAAACAACAGATTTAGGTTCCCTGGGGCTTTAAGGTTTAATTCTTGTCGGTAAAAGAATTGAATGTAATTATAAATATATCTGCTTAAATCACTTATCCTTGGACGGGGGGCAAGACGAAACAAAGGCACTTAACTATCTTTAAAGGGGGCCTTAGACTTAAAAGTTTTGGAACTGCTGGTTTACCATATTTAGCCGGATGCAAAGATATGGACCCTCGCCCGCTCCATCCCCCCAGCTTCCCAGTGGTGGTATTGCATATTGCAGGGTCACTGCACCAGCCCCAAGCAAGTGTGACAGTTTCTACTTGCATTTCTATCTGAGAGCAGGCAGGTTCTAGCAGAGTGTCTGTAAGACATGTTAGGTCTGGGGTGCTGCTGCCAGCTTTCTTCAGGCACATTTTATGGTAAATGTCTAGCAAGGGTGGGAGTGAATCCCCAGGAATGGACTGAACTAGTACTGTTGCACTGTCTCTGACTACATTACTAGATTGTAATGTAAGCTATTTGGCCAGGATCCTTTGTGTATCTGTAGAACCTGATGAGGCTGAAGGTTGGCAAATTGCTTCTTCTCATTCTCTTCAGGAAATATAAATTCCATTCAATTTAATTTAAATATCCCAGCGTTTAAATCTAAACTATCTAAACACAATTTCATTTATCATCCATGTTTCAGGTCTTTTTTTATTAAGTTGAACTTATTGGTATCTTTCTCTATGACACTGTACATGTCTCAGTCCTTTAGGGGAAGAGGCTGTTTCTGAGAAAACAGTCCAATATATCAATTATTATGTTTTAGTTGCAGCTGAAATCTATGACGAGGAGAAGTCTTGACAAAAAGTCAACAATGTGAGTGGAAGGGAGGTATTAGTCACAGAGGATAGACAACCATGAAAGCTTATTCTCATGTACATAGCCTCTATAGATTGACACGTTCTGTCCATTGATTAATCAAAGTTGTGTGTTTATTTCTTCATTTTAAAGATTTTTGACCCTTGTTTGTCCTCAGATTAACAGTCATGGGACTGTGATTTCCACTGTGGTCAGCTCTATGAGGACAACCACTGTAGTCTAATCGTAAGTACTGGTATAATCCCTTTATTAAAGTATTAATAAACAGTTAATTGCATACGTTCTTAGTGACATTTACGTGTTAGAATCAGCCCATTGAACTTTGCAGTCTGTAGTTCATTTATTCCCTCAGTTCTTCTTTGTTGGCCTCACAGGTCCTTGCTCTTTTTTGCGTGCTGTCTGTTTTGGTTCTTCATTGGTGTTGTTGAGTGCTGCTTGTGGTACTACAGTTCCTTTTCTATGGTTTTGGCAGGTCATGCAGCACCCAAATTTCGAGACAAGACATCCGCTGCAGCCAGAAGAGCAGGAGACCGGTTACGACCCCTTGCACAACTTTAACCGGAACAAATCACGTAAGTAAAATTGTTGTTCCATCAAGCAGCCAGTGTGTGAAATAAAGGCATGAATGGAGGCAAGGAAGCAGGAGAGTCAAGCTCCACTGATACCAGATTTTTTTTAATGGAGTGTAATGGTACTCTTTAATCAAATATTTTTGCAATTTGGCCTGTCAGTGTTGTTGGAACATGAATTTTGTTTTGTTGTTGGTCATGTGCCAAAGTAGGGCTGCAGTAAGGGATACGAGAGTTATACATTTTTGTTGCCAGTTCAGATTTCTTTATCGAAGAATTGGCTAATGACTTTTTGGCCATTTTTCTTCTTTTTTATTATTCATATTATTATTATCATTTTGTATTTTCACATTGTGTGGGCTGAATGAACAGCTGAAACAGAGTATCACATTAATTACAACATAAATAACAATCTAAACAACATTTTTTGTATTTAATGACATTTAATGACAAATAAATGATAAATCAGATGATGGGATAGGCTCCAGCTCCCCCCGCGACCCAGAAGGATAAGCGGCTTAGAAGGTGCGTGTGTGTGTGTGTGTGTGTGTGTAATGTGTATTAGGTCAGAAGCAGCAATATAATATACACATGCACGTATGTGTGTGTATATACATATATATACACTTGTGCAAACCTATTTTATATTAACAATGGCTTATTATCCTGTGATGTTCCGACACTTTTTAACACTTGGAGTGAATCTGAAATATTTTTATTATGCAAAATTGTAACAGTAAAACAAAGGAATCGTATCAGTATAACGGTTCTGACAAAACTCATACCTGGGGAACAGTTTTACCCAATATACTCGTGTACCATTCACTTCTAGTCATGCTACGCGAAGCCCATTTGCGAAGCCAATACCTAGTCTGTTCTTTCTGCATTAAGTGTTACTTGATCATTGATTGATGTGTTGATCATTGGGACTTTGAGTCTGTCTTTTGCTGCTTGCTGCAAGCTGCATGCAACTTGAAGCATGTACAAAATAGCTCCATGGCATTTTTCACTTGTGAGTGGTGTGAAAACGAAAACATTGCAGGAAAGTTCCGACTTAGACTTAGGGCTTGTCTGGATGCTAATGATGAAATAAAGAATTGTTGGTGGTCTGTTGCCATGAAGAAATTACCTTGCCTTCTACTAGAGGTGCATCAATACCTATTTTTTCAACTTTTTACTACTAACTTAAACCTACTTAGAATTAAGTAGTTCTTAGAGTCAGTGAGTGCAGATTACCTTAACAGTTAAATCATTCAAATATAGCTGATTTTAAATGACTTGCATTAGCTAGCTTTGCTACATAAGTTACCTTTGATTGAGTAGCACAGCAGTGGAGAAGAGCAGATTTTGTTTCTTGTCTGAAAAGTGCTTCTGTTCATGCTGTAAGTAAGAAGTGGTGTTTTGAAAATTGAATAGACCATCATGTACAAAGCCCAAGATTTATATGCTCTCACTGCATGATAATGCTGGTCTATGCTATGTGAAACACTCTGTCCATGAACAATTTCAAGTAAATCTGTTTCATTCAAAATTTTCCGTGTCCATTTGGTGGCTGGCCTGCATGTCTTCATCCATATTGGTGAAGTGGTTGTGAATTTGTGTTAGTGGGCTAAAATCACACAGTGTACACTGAAACTGTCACTGGGGCATTATCCCTCTTGTCATTGAGATGGGATCCTTAAGGGTACATCTCAGTACCTTTAGTCAGGGAATGTAATTGTATATATTTTTCTAAGTTGTATTGACTCCACACACCCCATCCCGTCTCCAGGCTTTTTATTTTATTGTTTATTGTCTTTTCATTAGGTTATGAAAAGGTACAAATACGTTCTTTTTATCTGGAAAAAACATATTTAAGGTTCACAATTGGACTTAAAAACCACTGTTGTACCTTGGAGGGAACTTTTACATTGTTGTACCTTGATGAAAGAAAAATGTACCTACACAGAACTTTTATTTCTAACAGTGTTGGTTTGGAGAGAATATGCCATGGCGAATAGTTTAACGTGACCAGCAACTTTGTGTCATGGAAAGCAGAGCCTCCTTCAGTGCTGTTGTTAATTAGTGCGGCAGTGTACATTTGGCTTATGTCACATGTTATCAGTGGGGTTCATAATGTTGGTTTTGGTGAAGTGTTATTAGTATGAGTAAATTAACACAGTATCGGCCCGATACCAGTATCGGTATGGATGCATACCTACCGTTTACAGTTGCCAGTAATTGGTAATATCTGTATCTCTCTTACTTTGAGCACACAAGATAAATTGCATGTGTTCAAAATATATCTCCATTTCATAATCTACAAGGAGTTTTGATCTCCATCTGTTGCATTTAGGTGATGACTGAATCCTCTGTGGATTCTGCTAACAACCCAGTAAACGTTCTACCTTTGTTTTTTTTGTTTTTTTGCCATTACTAGTTTTATTACAAACCTGTAAGCTATGGCACCTCAGTAGTGTTTGGCAAATCCGACTAAGGTTGTAAGGTTCTCTAGTCCAAATAGTTGATAATTGGCACAATTATCAACTAGTCCAAATTGGCACAATTGGAAGATCATAGCATAAAATAGCTCAAATAGCCAGTGCTTTTCTGTAGCCACATCTTCAGAACTAAAGCCCGCCAGGTGGCATGCTTACTGGCACTACAGCTTCTGCTGCTGGGAGAAGTACAAAAGCAGCAGACTGGCAGCACCTGATGCAGCTCTAGATGGAACCAGTACAGTGCTTCCTGTGGTGCTTTGATACCATGTGTTCAACTCCAGGTCCAATCCCTGAAAGTCACTAAACACATTACAAAGCTTGCTTAGATTAATTGTTTTTCATAATTTCATTATGGAGATTGGCCGTTCTATTAATTATGTATAGAATTACTAATTAGGCCTGTGTAGGTAACAAGAGTCCTCTTACTTTGGTAACTATGTAGAAAATAACTATAGTCAGTGGTCTGTGTGGAAAATATCTATGGTTACTGGTCAAATTAACATAATAAAGTGTAGTTCCGTAAAAGTTGTGGTTCTAATTTATTGTTGGATTGTCAGTTACACATCTACTACCTACTGCTATTATTACCACTGGAGTACATCAGAGGACCCCTCTCTCACTCTCTCTGTCTCTCTCTCTCTCTCTCTCTCTCTCTCTCTCTCTCTAGCCCTAGAATGCAAACTGATCACTGACAGCATTTTTAAGTGAAATGCTCTGTCATTCTGGTCTAATCTTTCTCTGTAAAAATTCATTTTTCAGGAGGACTGTCGGACAGTGCAGTTGAATCAACCTTCCAGTCATACAGGTTCTTAAATATTACTGATGTTCTCAGAAACCTCTTATACATCACTCATTTTTTTGGTGTTGTTAAATAAAGGTGGGCATCAGGATACTTGAAGGCATTCTCTCAATGCACTTTTATTCTTAGTGATGCACATTGATGTCAGAATTTGCTTTGAGAAAATCAGCCTCAGACATGTTTAGATTTGACTGATGTTTCTGCCCACTCTTGTTTTTTAATTACTGTATGTCTTTCTTGCTTTGCAGAAAAGAGTGGGATGACTTGTTCCAGAACAGTAACTATCTGGCACGGATCAGGCAGGCAGGCATTAATGGCCGATTGCGGAGCAGCCGATTCCGCAGTGTGTGCTGGAAGGTGAGCAATGAGATTTGTGTAGTAAGAGAAAGGGAAATAAGTAAAAATGCACTTTCCAAAGCTAGGTTTCCAAAAGGGAGTTTATTATTATTAAAATATAGGACTCCTAACAACCATGCAAGACCTGGTAGACCACCAAAACTTTCACCATCAGATAAACAGTACTTAAAACTTTCATCTTTAAGATACAGGAGAAAATCAAACTCCATTCTTACTTGAGATCTGAAAAAAATCCATAGGTGTTTCTGTGCATCCTTCCACTGTGAGAAGACAGTTTAACATTAGGAGTCTGAAAGGATGCATAGCCATTCCTAAGGAAAGGAAGTACACAAGAAAATTACAGATTAAACAAAGAAGCTGCTGGTTTTTTAAAAAAAAAATGGACAGGTCTCCTCAGAGTCCAGAGATTACTTTGTCAGAATCGTCAGAAGCTGAAAAAGAAAACCATCTTCTAAGACTGAACTGTCTCTGAACTGAAAAAGATGAAAGCAAGTCTGTCGACAAGAATGGAAGCTTTTTTTTCCACCTGATGCTTGAAAATGAATAGCTTTTACTTATGACTGTTTTGACTGGAAATGAAACAAAAAAGGAGGAAGTACTCTATATGTGCTACTGTACTGTGCTGGTGAAATTTATCATGCATGTATGTGTTTGACACCTGCGCATTGACTTTATCAGTATCTGTGGTGTTTCAGCTCTATTTAGATATCCTGCCTGAGGATAAGAGCCAGTGGATCAATAAGACCAAGGAGCTCCGAGCTCAGTACGAGCAGATCAAAGAGACGGTGAGCGTGTGTTTGTGCATTAGTGTGAGCAAATAAGTGTGCATAAAACTGAACTTCTAAAGCAACATATGTATTTCATACACATACATATATTTCTCCCCTTATAGCACATCACAAACCCACGCAAAGCAGCAGGCCAGCAGGACCTGGTGGTGAACAACCCTCTTTCTCAGGATGAGGGAGTGAGTGAGAGTTCTGCTCAAGATTTTTACAGTGGCATAAAATATATCTACTTATTCTGTATTCACATACAATATCCCTTTCTTTTCTTCTGTCTAGAGTTTGTGGAACAAGTTTTTCCAGGATAAAGAGTTGCGGAGTATGATAAAGCAGGATGTACTGAGAACGTAAGTTTACAAAATTCATTCCCTCACACTTACTTGCTTGCTTACTTTCTGTATGGGCCTCTTTTTGCATAGACATGATGCGCCTAAAGATTTATAAAGAAAGAAAAAAGATTTCAAAACTGTTTGTAGAACAGTGTATTCATAACTATATCGCTCTGGCACCCCTCTCAATCTCTTCCAAGGGGCTCTCTTATGCCATCTTTCAAGGAAACCACAAAACACATGATAACTGAGACAGTAACTTATAGTTAATGCTTCATGTCAGACTAAGTATAGATTTTGTTCAGTATCAATATTTTAATTGTACTTTTTGTTTGACATTGTGATATTAATATTCACATTTGTTTGATTGAGAGAGGCTGTTTTTTTTTTTTCAAATCTTTTGTTTTGAAGTAAAATTTATAGTTTTTGGTCCAACCCCATTTTTGTTGTATGTAATTACAGCTCGGTACACTCAAAGCATTTTTAACTTAAAATGTTGAAAATCGAATCGAAGCTTGGCCTCAGAATTGAAAAAGCACATTCAGTATGAAATTATGTGGATCACTACACCTCCATTGTTAATGTAGAGGTGCATACAAAAGGTTTTGTTCCAAATCGCATTATAGACCACTTTTATACTTTTATGCTTTTAAACTCTTTATATCCTAATTATTACAAATTGATTTACAGCATTTTGGAATGAAACTCATATACCCTCACCGAGCACTTTATTAGGAATACCTGTACACCTGCTCATTCATGCCATTAGCTATTGAGCCAATCGTGTGGAAGCAGTGCAGTACATAAAATCATGCAGATACAGGCAGCAGCTTTAGGTAATGTTCACATCAGTCATCAGAAATGGGGGGGAATGTGATTGCAGTGATTTTGACAATGGCATGGTTGTTGGTGCCAGACAGGCTGGTTTGAGTATTTCTGTAACTGCTGATCTCCTGAGATTTTCACACACAAGTCTCTAGAGTTCATTCAGAACCGTGCAATAAAGGAAAAACAGGGGGTAGTAGTTCTGCGGATGGAAATGTCTTCTTGATGAGAGAGGTCAACAAAGACCGGCCAGACTGGTTTGAGCTGACAGAAGGGCTACGTTAACTCAGATAACTACTCTGTACAATGTGTTTTGAGCAGAAAAGCATCTCAGAATACACAACACATCAAATCTTGAGGCAGATGGGCTACAACAGCAAAAAAACGTCAGGTTTCACTGTTGTCAGCCAAGAACAGAAACCTGAGACTACAGTAGGCACTGGTCATGTGCATCCCTTCATGGGCACAATTTATATCTTCTAATGTCTACTTCCAACATGATAATGCACCATCTCACTAAGCAAAAGTTGTCTCAGACTGGTTCCATGAACATGAGTTCAGTGTTCTTCAGGGACCTCTCCCGTCACCGGATCTGAATCCAATAGAACACCTTTGGGATATGGTGGAACAGGAGATTGGCAGCATGAAAGTGTACCTGAAATATCTGTAGTCAAATCATGTCAACATGGACCAGAATCTCAAAGGAGTGTTTGTAGAATCAATGCCATGAAGAAATGAGGCTGGTTTAAAGAGTAACTACACCCCACTATTTTCAGCTAACTCTACCCCAGGCTCAACTTATGCTCAACTCAAAAACTCAAAAAATGCTCAAAAATGGGAGGGGCACTGCAGCGATGTTCAGGTTTGGAGGTGGGGCTATGAGGAAAACCGGGTGGGCTGACGGAATCAAATGGCACTATTGCACCTGAGAGGTCTTACAAGGTTGACTTTTTTTTCTCCACTACCATCCCATCTTCAACGTGGGAAGTTGTCTCTGATCAGGCAGTGTGTCTTGAGCCTTAACAGTATGAGTTGCTTACTCAAACCGCCAAAGGTAGTGCCAGAAAATGATCAGCAGCGAGCGTTCTTTTTCCGCTCAAATTCACATTTCCCTTCATAAATCAAACTTTGGTGCGCGCACTCACTGAACAGAAATCAATGGCGAGCAACACTGGGACTACAGAAAGCGGAAAAAAAGTTTAAGGAAGGCTGTATGGACGAACGTTAACATTAACCTTCCCTGAACCGTTTCGCTTTCCGTAGTTCCAGTGTTGCTTGCCATTGATTTCTGTTCAGTGAGTGTGGCGCCCGGGAGTTTGAGTTGTGGAGGGAGACGTGAATCAGATGCAACACCGGCCACTTTATTAAAACTTGCAAGAATCCTCACTTAATTGGTCCAACATCTTTATTACAAACTAAGCTTAGATTAATTAAGTTATTTACGGTTGGTACAGACAGCTGGCATATCGCAGCCTTGTGAGGTGGTGCTGGGGGTATTTAGCTTAGCGCGTGAGTGTGGTTATTTTCTTGCTCTGGGCTCCTATGCTTTCATCTTTGAGTGTGGCATGAGTAGGGCGTCATCAGGGGGTGGTAACGTTGCTTGACTGTTTTGCATACTGTGACTTCCACGCCTACAGCACAGTTGAACCAGAGGGGAGCTGCAGAGGCGGAACTGACCACTGACCCATTTTTCCAGTTTGGAAAGATGTGTTCACATTTTAAGCAAGGCTGGTATATTTTATTATTACAGACCAGTGCATTTTGGCTGTTAATGAAAAAAAGGTCTTACTGCGTAGTTACTCTTTAAGAGCAAAGGGACGTCCTACTCAGTATTACTACAGTGTTCCTAATAAAGTCCTTGGTTAGTGTATTTATGACCTGAAACTAACTCACGAGACTTAACTTGCTCACTTTTCACGTTTCATACAGTTAGTTAAAACCTGTCAGATTAAGGTTTTAAAAGTTTGATTTATAGCTGGTCAAACTGTAGAATTTTATGGAGCAACAAACGAGAATAAAGAGTTTACTGTCTGATCAGATCAGATCAGTCTGCTGCAGTAGAATCTGGCGGTGTGGAAATCCAGGTTAAGCGTCTGGTTCAAATATCTTCAGGAAACTGTCGCAGATCTCAGTTCTGCCAATAAAAATAAAATACTGAATAAAACATTTTGAGCTGCTGCTGGGCAGGGAAGTCTCCAGAATTCTGTCCTCACAGCAGGACCACCTCCTCTCTTACCCCAAATTAAAATCTCTTCAAATCTACATGACTTAAATATTTATCATTAAACCAGCGAATTTTGGTGAAAGATGACAAGTTTGCATTTGAATGTAATCCTGCTGGTAATCACTCTGTTTTATAATGTACCTGTAATCTAATTACTGTCTTTTTTACTTTAACTGTAATTTATTACAGTTCCCTCTTTTGTATTCTGATTACGTAATGCCGTTACATGTATTCTGTTATTACCTCACCCTGGTCTTAGGCATGAGGCAATTTATTTATAGACATTTTATGTAATAATTTACCGTGAGGGAGTTTTTAGAGGCATTAAATATTTCAGACATCTGATTTCTATCACCACTGTGAACAATTCTTTGTTTTCAAACAAGACTTTGTTTACATCTTAATGATTGAATTATGAAGATTTATTTTTAATAGTGCAATCCACTTTTAATCTTTTCTCAATGTTTTTTTTTTTTTTCTTTTGCTCATTTCCAGTGAAAATTAGATAAATGTGTGAAACTCAGTGTTGTCATTGATACATATTAGTATTTTTTCAAGGTTCAGACTAAACAGGCACATAATTATGTGTTGTGATTTATGATGTGAATGAGCTTAGTTCAAATATTTTAGCTGGAAATTTAGAATGCATAGAACTAGTAGTAGTATAAATAATAAATAATAAATAAATAAACAAACAAACATGCTTGTTAAACTGCATGGAGGTGTATTGATTGCTTTCTACTGCTGCTCAATAATCTTACAGCACTGATGACACTGTCAATCCCAAGGTGCTGGTATAAATTTAGCCATCATCTGATGGGTGTGCCACTGTGTCTGTGCAGGTTTCCGGAGATGCGGTATTTTCAAGAGGAGGATGTTCGGACTAAACTGACTGACATTCTTTTCTGCTACGCACGAGAAAATGAGCAGTTACTGTATAAACAGGTATTCTCATTGCTGCACTCTGTTTGACAGCATAGATCCTGCTGTGTTACAGTAAAGCCTCTACAGAGGACACACCTCTAAATATTGCACAATTACTGTTTATTTGCTGAATTTAACATAAAGGGAAAAATACAATCAAATAAAATGTGACCTATGCAAAAGTTATGTCACCGTTTCTATTTTATGAATATTTTTTCCAGTATGTTAAACTTAGCAGATTTAAGTTTGTTCTCTGTAGAGGGTGCATCAACTTACTTTCACTTGGAAAATGAACAAAACATGTAATTTGACCCAGAAAGTTTAAACTTTTGCCTGTAACTGTATGTATTAATATTTCCTTTTTTGAAGTAACTGCTAATGCTTATTCATTTTTTTGATTTTTGATTCTTATTCTAACTTTTTTATTTCTCTTGCTTATTTTCTGAATCTTTGTTCATTTATCTTTATTTCTTTTGGCCTTTCATTTGATTTCATTCTCTCTGACTCTCTTTCTTATCCATTCTCTCTCTCTCTCTCTCTCTCTCACACACTCTCTCCTTTTCTCTCTCTTTCTCTCTCCCTTTCTCTCTCCCTTTCCCTCTCTCTTTCTCTCTCTCTCTCTTTATCTCTCCCTTTCTCTCTCCCTTTCTCTCTCTCTCCCTTTCTCTCTCTCACTCTCCATTTCTCTCTCTCTCTCTCTCTCTCTCTCTCTCTCTCTCTCTCTCACACACACACTCTCCCTTTCTGTCTCTCTATCTCCCCAGGGGATGCATGAGTTGTTGGCTCCAATAGTTTTTGTCCTCCACTGTGACCATCAGGCCTTCCAGCATGCCAGTGAGACCGCCAGTCCCAGGTTATTTTTGCTCACCACATCATACATACTCTCCTCAGCCAGTCTCAACGTTAAATCTTATTGCATCTCCAGCACTCATGCCTACAAATCAAAAGTGTGGACAAACCTGACTGAATGTTTCTTTTTTAATAGTCTTGAGAACATTTTGTTCTGAAGACGTATGTTGAAAGTGTGGAAAAGTATAAATAGTGAAGTTGATCAGGATCAGAATCACTTTATTTCTCCAAGTATGTTACACATACAAGGAATTTGTCTAGGTGAGTGCAAAGGTGTATGACATATAACATACTGAACAGATCAGACAAGCACACAGACTAATACCTATTTAGCTAGGGCACAGGTAAAATGAAAAAGGAATAAAGAAAGAGTAATGAGCCATTTTGAGCCAGTTTGAAAGGAGCTTAAGGGGGTATGTGAATAGCTGTACATAAACAGATATGAATATCTATGCATACACAGGTCTGAGGAGTCATATAATATGGTAATATGGAAATGTACACCAAGTGTAGAGGTCTGCATTCCTGCTGGGCAACCCCAACATCTTGCGGTGCAAAGGAACAGTGTGTGTTAACCTGCCCAGTATGAGCAGGACGAAAACTTGGAGTGGACAGGTGCAGGACTGAAAAATAAAATTTGACAGGACAACACTGGTTACTGTGTACTCACAAAAACAGCTGTCGTTAGATCACAGACCAATAAAATAAAAAAAATATTTAGAGTAATGCACTATAATAAATTAATTAGCTGTTTGAAATTAAGTTCGTATTCTACTTTAACAAATTAATTAATCAAGTGTTGCTTTTAAACAGCATCACAATCACAGTTTCTTTTAGTCAAAATTTTAAACTGCTTTTACTATAGTTCACTGTTCTCACACTGTGTAGTGCTAATATAGTGAGATGTCTGTTTCTGCACATAGAACATGTTACAAAGAAAGTATTTAACATATAGCATAAAATATTTTTGGTCAAACAGATCAGGTGTTTTTTGGCTGCACTGAATTGAATCACTGTTTATGTCCCGTTTTCTGAAAAGTTGGGTCCCGTTGGGTTCAAATACACGCATCGTAAGTGTGAGTGTAAAATGAGCTTAAGCTTTTTGATTCTCAGCGCTTCTTCTTCAGTGTCTGGTAGAATTTAGCTGGATGCAGTATTGTTTTTATGCTTTCTTCTTTTGACTGAACAAGTAATACACTCTGACCAAAACGTAAGATGGGAAACCTTTGACCTTGGCATTTAGGTCATTTGGCAGATTCTCTTATCCACAATGATTTACAGAAGTGCTGGGGTAGAGCACATAGTAGGTGTGTCTAAACCTTTTGTTGAAGTAAGCATCAGAGTGCAAGTCTGAGACTTGAATTACCTTTTATGTGACTGTAGTGATTTCACAATGACTACAGTTATAATGCAGCGAGGGACTTTGTTAAATCCACACATGGAGCTATTTGCATGACCCCCTCATAAAGCCAGTCCAGATGACATTTGTGTGAATGCTTGCATTTAAACGTGTTTTATTTTTCAGTGAAGAGATGAAGGTGCTTCTGGATCCAAAGTTCCATGAGCATGATGCATAGTGAGTTCTAAAGAAGCAAAATCATCATTGTTGTATTGTACCATTCCTTTTTCTACACTGATCTAAAGTGTAATCCCCCTCGTCCTCTGCATTATAGTGCCATGTTCTCGCAGCTTATGGAGACAGCAGAGCCTTGGTTCTCTAGTTTTGAGCGGGAGGTGAGGAAGGTACATCCAATGAAACTTTTTTGACCTAATCTCTATCTGCCTCATCTATAGCATAGAATCGATTACTACAGACAATAATGTCCATGTACGTGGTAAAAGAATTAATTGACTCAAAATGCATTTGTAATTGAAGCAAATGGGTAGGTAAATATGTTTGGAATCAGTGAGTTTTTATTCTTTTACCAAGTTCAGGGAGTTGACTTTTAAAATTGTGTGCCACAGATATGGAAGACTTCAATAGTTTGAACGGCTCTTGTTCTGTTGTGTCTGAAAGTTGTTTTATTGTTGCAGGGAAAAGAAGAGATGCTGACCAGCATACCTTTTGCTAGACCGCAGGACTCTGGCCCTTCCGTTGCCATAGTAACCAAAGTAAACCGCATTCAGGACCAGCTGGTGAAAAAGCATGATATTGAACTGCACATGCATCTCAACCGCTTGGAGATTGCTCCTCAGATATATGGCATGTGAGTCTCTGTGCATGCATGTCTGTGTGTATGTCTAAACATGTGTTGATGATAAGGAATTAAAAGAGTAGTTTTTCTACTTAACCCAAATGCTGTCGATCAACTAAGACATGTTTGGTGATGTTTTTGCTTCTTTAGTTTGGAGCTTCCATGCTGGTGGTGCTGACAAACACTGAAAGGAAAGGGTCACCAAAACTGTCTTGTGCAGAATAATACTAAATTGTACTAAGGAAAGAAGTGATTCTGGTTATACAGAGAGGTGTTTTTCTGTTTTTATAGTTCATAGTGAGTCATTCTGTGTTCTAAACCCCATCAACTGCACAACCTGCATTAAGACCTGGATGCCGTTTGAGTGGGTTGAGAGAGGTTTTGGGGATGTATTTGTGGGAATGGTTTGGGAGACCATTGACCTTCAGTGTTTATTAGCAAGGTTAGCCTTATATCTCCAGTTCTAAACTAAAGAAGCAAAATTTGGACAACAAACATGTAGTAATAATAATAATAATAATACATTATACTTATATAGCGCTTTTTAAGAACTCAAAGACGCTTACAGGTTTCCGAAATACAGAACAGTAAAGACAAACATGAGAACATGAAGCACAGTCATAACATCACAAGCAAAACATAGCAGGACTTGGCAAAGGGCTGATTTAGGATTGAGAACAGTTATAAGCAATAGAAAAGTTTTAAGTTTAGATTTAAAAGTGGAGACAGTGTTGGCCTGTTGAATATGTGAAGGAAGAGAGTTCCAGAGTCGGGGAGCCAGCCTAGAGAAAGCACGATCAACGTACCCATGTAGTTTGGAAGGTGGGACAGTGAGTAAACCAGCAGAGGAAGACCTGAGAGTGCGAGTTGGTTTGTAGGAATAAGCAGATCAGAGAGGTAAGAAGGAGCAAGGTTATGTAGAGCTTTGTATGTGAGGAGAAGAATTTTGAATTGTATGCGGTATTTTACAGGAAGCCAGTGGAGATGTTGCAGGATGGGTGTAATATGCTGATGTGCACGGGTGCGGGTGAGAAGGCGAGCAGCAGAGTTCTGTACCATCTGGAGTTTGCATAAAAGGGAGGAGTTAATACCAGCAAGTAGAGAGTTACAATAGTCCAGGCGACTAGAAATGAATGCATGAATAAGGGTTTCTGCAGCAGACTGAGAGAGTGACGATCAAATTTTTGCAATGTTACGGAGATGGAAAAAGGAGGTTTTAACTACAGAGTTGATGTGTGCACTGAATAAGAGAGTTGAGTCAAAGAGAACGCCCAGATTTCGTACCAGAGGGGAAGGGGACAGAGTTACATTGTCGATGGAAAGAGAGAAAGGAGAAGTTTTAGAGAGAGTTGGAATTTGGATCCTATAAGAACAAGTTCTGTTTTGTCACTATTTAACATGAGAAAGTTGTGCTTCATCCATGTTTTAATTTCTGTTATGCAGTTTTCAAGCTGGGTGAGGGGTGGATTTTTAATAGATTGAGTGCTAATGTAAATCTGTGTGTCATCTGCATAACAGTGAAAGTTCAGCTTGAAACTACGTATTATGGGGCCAAGAGGAAGCATGTACCGAGGGTGACAAACTGTTTTCTGTCAGTCAGATGTGACTTAAACCACTCCAGGACAGTGCCCCTAATGCCCAGATCATGCAGCCTTGATAGGAGGATTGAGTGGCTCACCGTATCAAAGGCTGCACTCAAGTCAAGTAGTAGAAGGATGCTAAGGGCACCAATATCGGCATGTCTTGGCTGATTGACTGCATTTTGTGGAAAATCATGTGAACTTTTTTTTTCGCTGAATCATTCCTTTAAGAGTATGAGTGAGTGTGACTACAGATCTTATGTTTACTTTAAATGTGTGTTTTTTTTGTGTTGCAGTCGTTGGGTGCGGCTGTTGTTTGGTAGAGAGTTTCCTCTGCAGGATCTACTGGTGGTGTGGGATGCACTGTTCGCAGACAGCATCACTCTGGACCTGGTGGATTACGTGTTTGTGGCCATGCTGCTCTACATCAGAGACGCATGTGAGTTCCCTGTGTTTCTGTCTGACTGTAGGGGTATTAAAAAGAAAAACGATTGGCCAAATAGTCTGCGATACGTCTGCATTGATTTACACACCTAGATCTGGTTTGAATTCAAAGGAAAACCGGCTAAAAACTGATGCGGCCGTAGCAAAGTGAGACATTTGACAGTCGACGTACCCCAAAGACTTGCACATGTGTTTGAGAGAGAGACAGGAAGTGTCTAGGTTAGAGACTGGCAATATGGTGATGTTTAATCGTTATTGTGAAAAATGTTATGTTTCATTAAAAAGGGAGTATAATTAGTCCTGTTCAGTTGGATTTAGTGCAGTACAGTATGCCAAATGTTGAATATGAATCATTGCATTGATCAATTTTGATGGCAGTTTTTAATATGGCACTACTAGTGCATTGTGTCTGTGTGTCAAAATATTGTGGTGTGTATCGTCTTTAAGTATTGTGGTATATTTTTGGCTGTATCACCCACCCCTAGTCTAGGTTTGCTGAAGTGTTATTGTTTACCCAGGGGATGGCCTGCAGCTAAGGATGCAAAAGGTACCACTAGCATTACCAGTCTCTTAAAGAGCTTGCGACCCACACTTTAACCAGTTGGAGGCAATAACTGAAGCAATTGTTTACTTTATTTGCAAAGACAAGCCACCCTATTCAGATTCAAACATGACAGCTACGCTGGAAGCCAGATACACAATACCGAGTCGGTAGCGTTTTAGTGAAACGTGCGCTGTGATAGTCATCAGAAGTGTCCAAATAGTTGAATAAAGATTTTCTGTCTACTTTCTTTAATTTTTGCCTGATCTGATTTGCCATTTGGATTCACATGATAGTCAGCTCTCCCAGTATATTTAGTGACACCATGTGCTACAGATCAGGCAAAATCATACAAAAGGAATATTTACTAAACTGTTTGGGTGAAGACTCTTGTCAGGCACTGAGTGAGTAGCCTTAACAGCTGATGGGTGACTGTCATGTTCGGCAGTCTTATGTTATGATCACAGCTTATTAAACTTCTCTTAATTGATAACCACCTTTGCACAAGCAGCCCATTTGGCCAGAATTGAGCAACATATGGCAGTTGTCATGTTACAGAATGTATGACAACCTCATCGTGTTTTTTCTCAGACAAAATAAAGACAAGGAAAAAAGGTTTGGAAATTTTTACAGAGTCAAAATCAGGACACATCAGTGCATGTTGGATTTAACTAAACTGAATCATATTGAATCAGATATGAAATCATATTGAATCAATGGTGAATTGAAGTATATCAAATTTAGTGGTATCATTTTTGTATTGTATCGTAAAATGTGTACGAAGTATTTGTATCATCTGAAAGAGGGAGATTTGCTCCCCCTCTTGCCTGCATATTATCTTTAACTCTGCTGTCTCCATTTAAATTATCAAGTTAATGTTTGCATAATATTTCATCGTGGTTTGACTTTCAAAAAGTTAGTAGGTCATTTGGTGTCAGGTGAATTTTATTTATTTAATTATGTTTCAGTCTTTTAGCAGTGTTTGGCGTGAAATAGAAACAACAGCAGACTTGTGCTTTTTGTATATAATGAATATTGATACTATGTAAAGGACAATAAACAGCTGCATGATTCATTACAAAGAGAGTAAAATTAGTCTTTTTTTAAACTGTATTTACTGTAGAGCAGCATGTAAAACATTGAAGAAATATACATGGAGAAAACAGCTTTGGTTTGGCTATAGACTGAACTGCCCGCTGTGTTAATTCCTCTATGAGATGCTATGCTAACGCTACCTAGAGTGACTTTGACTTCTTGAGCTGAAGCGTTACAGGTTTGCAGCACACATACTGTAGGCTAACGTACAACATAGCAATGATAAAGTTTGAGAATTTATGATGGTAATTAATGGACTATGATTGTAAAGATGCGTTTTTTTTTATTTAGACCATTAGTAACGTTGCATGTAATCAGCATGCTTTAGTCGAGTTCCAGTAGCTGCTTTGTTTAAGCTCCAGGCTCTGTTGTTGGCTATTAGATGAGAAATAGGTTATTCAATTTTATATTGTGTTACCTAATCATGCTACAGTGAGCATGTAAACTGTTAACTAGTATATTGATGGCACAGTATTGTGTGGTGTATTTTAGAAATCAGCACATGGCTGTATTTTTTCTGGTTAACCGTATGAGTATCTTCCTTCCTGTTAGTGGAGGTTTGGTAGAGACAGATACTTAACTATCAATTGATTTAGTATATTGCTGCTGTCGGCACAAAACTTTGTATCTCCAAATTGATAACTTTACAGGAGAAGAAAAAAACATACTTTACTTTTAATGCAAGTCAGTGGAACCAGTCATTTTGGGTAATTTCTTTTAGTCCATTCATCATGATATTTACACAATGTAAAGAGCAACAGGCTTATTCGAATTATGTCAAAAACTGAACAATGACAAAGGTGGAGATACAAGGTTTTGTCCTGACAGCAGCAATATATAGGTTTCAGCATACATTTTCAGATGAAAATAAATGTGTAAGTAAATAGTTAAGTGATAAAATTCAACAGGGTAGCGAGTTTATGGAACAGTAATGGCAGTTTATGGAATACTGTAGGGATTGAATAAGAATAAATGACAGGAGAAAGTATGTAACAATTATGGACGGGTAAAAAAGGAGCAATGATTTGGTTAAAAAATCTTGAGGAAACTGGTGTAACACACATTTGGCAGTTTAGTGTTGTATATGTGATGAACATCACTAAATTTTTATCACTGTTACAACCCTGGGGAGCACCTTTACAAACGCTTTTCTCTGTGAGTTACAAAAACTAATATAAAATAGTTGTTTTAAAAAAACAATGACTTTGTTGTTATATAATTATTAGAACTCCTAAAATATGTTGCTTGCAAGAAGTCTTTGCTTGAGCCAGTTAAATGTACATTACACATGCACGTGTGCACATGTTTAGGATGGTACAATATCTGCCTCATTTTGAGCCAGGAACCCTGGATACATATGGGGTATAGTAAAAAAGGCTTAAAGAATTGTGATATTATATTTTTGCCATATTGCCCACTCCTAGTTTCAATATGGGAAACTTGACCAGTCCCATTTTGTCGCAGTCACTTCCTGCAAATGCAAATGAGATGCAGCAGCCTTTTCCTGGAATATGATCCATTTCTTCAACCTGTGCGTGAGAAAAGAAAAAGATAAAGTAATATTTTGTTATTTATATTTCAGTGATCGCCAGTAACTTTCAAACATGTCTTGGCCTCCTGATGCACTACCCCCCAGTTGGAGACATCCACTCTCTTCTGCACAAAGCACTGTTCCTGAGAGACCCAAAGGTATCCACTTACACTTTTCACAGGTTTATTCTGTGCACTGACCTAATTAAAATATGTAAGTACCATAAATGACAACGTAATTAACACTGGCTTGCACCAACAAGGATAAAGTTTCAGCCTAGATAAAACAAAGTTTATCTGTTGCACTAAGCTTTAAAACTAGTTTAAAAATTATCTTGGAGACATTTAAACCATTGTTTTAATCCTGGTTTTAGTGTTTCAGTACCCCTAGATTCATTTTATTCCTCTTACCCCATTTATTTATCTGCAAGGGTCCAATTTGGACTCACACTCCAAATTCTAATGATAGTTGGATTATAAGTATGATGGACACGCAAAAGCTATTTAAATACTAAAAGCTCCCCCCTTTTCCCCTTCTGAAAAGTTGGGACAATATGTGAAATGTTAAAAGAAACAAAAAGCATTGATTAATAAATTCTGTTTAACCTGTATTAAATTGAAAACAATACAAAAACACAATATATTATGTTTTGCCTTATAGACTGCATTGTTTTTTTGTAAATATATGCTCATTCCAAATTGGATGCAACACTGTCCAAGTATGTTGGCACAGGAGCATGTTTATTATTGTGTTACATCACCATTCATTTTAACAACACTTAATCGTCTGGGGACTGAAGACAGAAACTGATCCAGTTTTGAGAGGGAAATTTTTTGCCATGTTTCTGTTATACAAGTCCTCAGCTATGCAATCATGTGGGTCCTTCTTTGTTGTGTTTTGCGTGTTTTCACTGCGAGACAGGTCTGAACTGCAAAGTGGTGAGCCTCGACCCATCCTCACTCATAGGTGACTCTGCTTTCCTGGATGCCCCTTTTTTGCCTAAGCATGATTGCACCACGTATTTAGGGTGTTTTTTGAAGATTTGAGAATGTTCCTAGTCTTAAATTGCTCCTGTCACTACTTTATTTGGAATGTGTTGCAGGCATCAGTTTCAGAATGAACACATATTTACCCAAAAACTATGACGCTGATAAGGTAAAACATTACATTATTACATATCTTGCCTTTGTACTGTTTTCGTTCAAACACAAGTCGAAGTATATACAATATCATATATTATCATATTATATAATATAATATGATATATAAATCACTATTTTCTCTATTTATCTGCATTTCACACACTGTCCCAACTTTTTTAGAACTGGGTTTGTACACTCATTAGCCTGAAAAATTTAATTGAGTTAGTCCATGAGTAAGTTACATGCTAGATCTATGAGGTGCTTTTTATCTAAAAATGTCCTCTGGTGATCATCTGAATAATACCTTGGATCATGGCTCAGGAGAACTCCCCATACTGCAAATGTGGTCCTACTGAAACCTAAACTGAGTTGATTAAAAGACACTATTCTTGGGGCTGTTTTTTTAATTATAGGTAGAAGCACACTGGCGCATTGTATAGATTTAAAGATCTCATTCACCAGTTCAGTTTTCTTTAAGAGATGATATGTTGATGTAGTATAGCAGAAAGAGTGTTAAAAGACTCTTCCAATTGAAGTCTCGATTCCAGGCTCAGAAGATCTACAGTGACCTCTGAATTTTTTGTTTAATACAATTAGGCAATGATAATTGTGATAAGAATATATTTTGGGATAATCTTCTGAATATTTTATGTTATTTTCAGATGTTTTTGCAGTTGTTACCTCAGGGCAAGCAATTAAACGTGAGATGAATTCTCCAGTAAATTATCTTAAACTAATATCCATTCCATGAAGAATGGGATACAAAGTAGTCCATGCGTAGCAAGTAGTGGTGCTGCTGATTTGGATTCATGGTTTGTCGCATTGCTTACTTTCAGAACAACCCAAGGCCGGTTAACTATCAGTTCCAGCAGAACCTTGACTACTACAAAACCCGTGGAGCTGACCTTGTCAACAGGACGCGGTATGTAGTGCCTGTCTCTGATTGTGCAGTCTTGGCCAGTATCTTCACAAATTTTCCCTCTTGTGATTTGTTGTCCCTTTCTATTTATTCAGGGCTAGCACTAAAGCAGCTCCCCTAAATATTAACAAAGTCTCCAGCTCTCTGATCAGCTTTGGCAGGAAGCTCATTGCCCCAATGGGTGGCGGCTCCAGCGGCATCTCGCCCATCAACAGTGAGGTGCTCTCAGCTCCGCCATCACAGCCTCAGGTGCCTCGGGCGTTGGTTGAGCATTCGTCTAGCACCTCCTCTCACACTCATATGCAGGCACAGGCGCAGCACCGTCTGCTGAAGTCTGAGAGTATGCCCGTGCACCTTAGCAAAGGTGAGCTTACATGCGGATCCTTCCAGAACAAGCCCTTCACTTTAAAAACGGATATGTTAAAAGCAGCACATTTTTTTAATTGTTTTTAACACATTCATGTGTCTAGTCAAGGACAACACATTTTGTGAAATTTTTGACACAACTAGTGTGTTATCTCCATTAACACAGGCAGTGGGTTTCAATTCTTAATACAAAGATGTGTTCTAATTAAACAATGTGTCAGAACTACAAATTGTGTTCTTTTGGCCTAAATGCACCACAGTAAGCTCAAACAACAGAGAAGCTCAATAAATCCATTTATTAAACCTTTTTCATTTCAGCCATTAAACATTTTAATAACTTTTTGGATCATCTGGAAGTACTGTCACCAATGTTTTTGGTGCCTCTTTTGTGAAAGAGCAAACAAAAAACATTTTCTATTAGGTGATTGAAAGCTAAATGTGCATGTGAACTATTTGTAACATTAGCTCAGGTTTGGTGCTTTTAATCGTCATCAAATTCCATTCACACAAAACAATCTGAAATACTCTTCTGATTCGAATATGGTAAACACCACCATTCTCTCCTGACATTTTTTTTCACTGATTTGTTGCCATTTAGACTTATAGTTAAGTAAGAATTTGCAGCAAAATTACATCACCTGTGCTTCATGACTTCAAGAACTTAGCTACATAACTAACAAAAATGTGCCTCGCTAACATTAGTTAGCTAGTCTATAGTCTTTAGCATGGCGTATTGTTTTTTTTTTGTTTTTGTTTTTTCACTACTGCTAGTTCTCAAGGTAGCTCTCTAGTGTGTTTTTGAATAAAAAGACAAGAGCTACAGTCTTTGCCAGAACTGTATAAGCTTTCTAGCTTGATAAGTTTACCCCAGTTTAAAGTCAACTTGTGAAGGAATAGCTATCGTCTCAATGTGCAGTGAAATTTAATTACAAAACCTGCAGTTATTGATCCACTCAAAGAGCAAATAGACAGTAGTAGGACATAGCTTATTTTCATTATTTACACAGCACTCATCCAGACCTCGCTCACAGAAAATCAAAGGGCAGAATTTCAGATGAGACAAAATAGTGGTATATATTGTGACTGTTCAGTGATTTTGTACATGGTGTGACATTTTTTTCTTCCTTCGTTTTAACACATATTTAAAACATTATGACACAAAATATGTTGTTTATTAACAAAAAACTGTTTAGTACTTGATATGTACATGGCTGCCAACTCTCACACTCTTGAATATGAGACTCACGCAAATAGACTGGTATAATCTCATGCTCTCACGACACACTTCATGTTTTTCACGCATGTTTACGTCTCTCCTCAAAACGACCTACAGATGAATCTGAATGCTCATAAAGTTTCCTTTTTCTCCTCAGCCCTCCAGCTTTCACTGATTAAAACACTGGACTGGCAACAGCGGTTTACTTGAATTCTAGTAAGGAAGGAAAGGAGGAGAGCAAGCTAGTCAGTCACTACTGGCACATGTGTGTTTTAGATCAGTGGGGGGGACCAGTATCCATAGCAACATTGAACCAATAAAAAATGTGTCATCTGAACGCAGTGCAGTTCTTGTCAGAGAGTAGAGTAAAAACCTTCACTGATCACACGCCAAACAGACGAACTGAACGAAAACAAAGAGGTAAAGAAGACTTGTTCAGTAAACTAAATATAATCACTAAACACAGTTCTTAGACAAAATGATAAGAATAAGAGCAGTGTTCATGACTACACACAACAACACAGTTTTTGCTGCAAAATGAACGCTGTTCTGTCTGTAAACAGTTTTAGCTAAATTAGCTAAACAACTAAGAAAGCTGCTTTTACCCATTTTCACTGTGTCACTGTTAGCTTTGAAATCTGTGCTTAGCAAGTGCTGCACTGCTGCACTTCTAGTTACCAATAACAGGAGCTTTTTAACTGGTCTATATTCTATATTCTCTGTAGTTGGACTATATTCTGTCCTCATTAGAGTAGGTTGACCAGTTCAGGGGGCAGCTAACAACAAATTACTGATACTGTACAAAAGCAGAACGTACCAGCTTTCAGTCTTTGTTCCTCTGAATGTTTAAGAAGTTAAGCAACATAATATGACAGAACAGTATTTTATGGATAAGGAAGTAGCTAAGTAAGCAAAAATCTAATTATATTTTTAGATATTGTACTTTTTTTTTATTAAATTTGTACATGTATTGTTGATGTGGAAACAGATCAGATTTCCACATAGCAAAGATTTGATTCTGGAACATTTAGTCATATTTCAGTGACATATTGTGCAGACATTTAAAATGGCTTTATTGCTTAAAAAAGTCAAATGGGTACTCATGAAATCACTCAGAAAGTGATTTAAAAATATCGGTGTTAAACATTTCTATGTAATGGCAATCATGGCTGGCAACTAAAACTGCATCTAGTACCTACAATAGTAAGCATAAAGAGTAGCATCAGTGTGAAACCAGGACACATAATGGGCATGAAACACTGTATGTCCTTAATAGTATTTTGTAGTAATACAGAATATTACTAAAGACTACAGTCCAAAAAAAAAACACTCTGAAGCCCACTTAAACCATACCACACACCCCTCCCTATCCGCCATCCTGGACCTCTGAAATCTCCCTCTAAAAAAATGTAAAAGTTGGCAGCCTTGTATTTACCTTTGAGCATGGGTGTATCTTAGTGCACTGTGGGTGTATTTAGTGGTCTCATTCTCCTGTCTGTTAGATGTAGGTTCTACTGGAGTATCTCAGATCTCTCTTCCCACCCAAATACTCTCTGACATGCAAGGTAACGACTCTCTTAGCAGCTGCATCAGCCCTGGGGTGTGCACCTGTTCTTCAGTTCGTTGTGCCAGTGTAATTTAGTGTGTGGATGCATGTTCTTCTACTGTGATTTAGTATGTTAATGCATGTTTCCCTATGTTATGTTCACATGTGGCAGTGTGCATAATCACCAGTTTGCAACTTGTCTCTAATCAAGTGTGTTTAATTATACGTTGGGGCCCTTGAGGAACCAAATTTCAGCCCACAAATGCACAGACAGCTCTTTCATATCACACTTAATACTAATGTGTATAATACATTACAGCAGAGTTCATCAGTTCACAATTGGGTGATTTCGCTGCTCAGACACACCTGATTCAACCCATCAGTTAATGACTAGGTATAGTAGGTGTGTTAGAGCAGAGAAATCACCAAACTCTGGTGGGCTTTGACCCTTCAGGACCAGAATCAATGAGCTCTGGGGCTACAGTATATGCATAAATCCATAAATTCTACATGTGTAAGAGCACTACAATTCCTCAGTATCCCCTGTTGTTTTAATTAGAGATGTCCTGATCCATTTTTTGGCCCTTGTATGATCTAAATACTTAAAAAGGGAATTCCAACAAATTTGTGCTGAATTCAATTGTTGAATTGTAAACAAAGCCATTCAGAGTCTGTTGTAAAATAACTTAGGGCATTTTCACGTTAGAGTTTTTTCTGGAACCAGAGTTTTTTCACTTGACCAGATGTACCGAACTCTTTCCCTCACTCTTGCCTGGTCAAGTGTGAAAGCTGTTGTCAAGCCCAGGAGCAGTCCAGAGAACCGATCTCAAAAACAGCTTTCCCAGCAAACTCTGCTGCAGTCTGTTGCACGTGTGGAAGCTATCCGCTCCCGGCACTGCGTGTGGGGTCAGCTTATCACGTTGTGTTTTTCTGAGTAAATAAATGCTTACTATTCTATTGTCTCAGGTACCTGAAACTTTTGCCCAACACTGTAGAGTATATTTACAGGGAAAAAAGCAGTTCTTCAGTTGTAGACGTAGAATGCAACATGAGTGAATTCCTATTATGAAAGGTTAGAATAATCTATAGCCTACAAGATTGAAGACTTTTGCAGTGTATTCCATGTGGGCTAGCCATATAACAGTCCCATGTTATCACTATTATGCATCAGTATATGCCTAATAAAACCACATTTTCATCTCATGCTGGCCTGCATGGCTAAAAACCTTCTCGTATGAGATGCACTTAGAAATGCCATGTATCAATCCTATCCACCCAGAGAGAGCGAAGCCAATGGTGCTCTCTTGGACTCCTGGCCACGGATGGCAGTAGCATCACCATGGCTAAAACTAGTGATCTCCTGATAAAAGGGCCAACGCTATGCTAAGACATATAAAATATTGATCATCAAAATATTGATCAAGTTGATTGACAGATCTGATGATTTGGCTTACTTTTAAATGCTGCAGTAAAACTACTTTTGGTATGTGCACAGTGATATACACTCCAAACTGACAGCTTCTGTTTCTGTGGAATATGTATTTGAAATAACAATTTTATATTAATGTGAAGAAGCTGCAATTTCACATTTGTCCCCATGTGCACAGTAACCTCCTTTCTCTCAGTTTGAACATGCTGTTTCTACTAACGGCACTTTTACTTCGTTTGGTGGCATGCTGGTTGCGGAAAGCAGCAGAAAAAAGGGCTTGTCTTGTGACAACCACACATGCGTGTGTCCATATATTGACAAAGTTTCTATACGGATATCACAATTTTTTTAATTATTCACATTACGACAGTGATGTAAAAAGAATACAAATAAGAAACAAAGGATCTGAACTGGATCGGGCTAAATATGATGCTTGATCCATTAAAATGTGACTGGATTGGATCAGGACATCACTGATTTGAATCTGAATGCTTAATCTCACATACTTCTCTGTCTGCTGCACCTGTTTTGCCTGTGTACTGTTTTTCAGCTTGTCTTCTGTGTTTCTTTAACCTTTCTGAAGTCAAAGTGTGCATTCCCAAAGTCAAAACATTAAACTTCCCATTATTGTTGATCTGATTCCTGATTTATAGACTCATGTCTTTTCTCTGTTCCTTTTTCCTCTCTGAATGATGGCTGCACTTTTTAGGCCAGACATCCAGGACTGTAAGCTCCTCCCCGAGTACTGAGAGCTTATCTGGTGGGCGGGACCATGCTATGTCATCCCCTCCTCTTCCGGTGTCCAGGGGACGGGAGTCCAGCACGTCGTCCCCGCCCCTCTCGGCCACAAAAAAAGACTCGTTCTTCAACATCAGTCGCTCCCGCTCACACAGCAAATCCATGGGCAAGAAGGATATGGTGAGCAGCTGTTATACTTTTATGTAACTTTTCTGCTCACACACCAACCTCCACCCTCCTTCCCAAGGCAAACCTTACCCTATGATCAGTCTGTTCATCCACATTAATTTTATTTCCAAATGAATACACTGCAGAATAAAAAAAGGGTATCAGAGTAGTTCTTCAGTAAACACTGAATTATACAGTATATAATATGCAATTATAAGAAAAATTGCCTACTTGTTAATCTGCTTAGTCACAGCGAAGCCTTAAATAGGAATATAAAAATAATTCAGAAGCTTTTTTGTGTATTAATGTAAACGCTGCCTTTATTTTTACCTGTGGTAGCAACAAAGCAGTCCATTTGATGAATCATGAGTCCACATACTTAAGTAATACAAGTTTGAGTAATTCTAATAATTTTTTTTAACTAGAAATATTTTTTAGAATGTTAAATATGAGGCCAAAAATACTATAAAATAATGACAAACAATTTTTTAAAGTGTCTTTAAAGTTTTCTGTCACTTGTAAATGTCTGTGTGTTTGCGTGCATGCAGGAAGAGTTGGAGGCCCAGGTTTCATTCCTCCAGGGGCAGATCAATGATCTGGAGGCCATGAGCAAATACTGTGCTAAGATGATGAACATGCATATCGGTGAGTCAGACTAAAAGTCACTAGTATCCTTGATGAGAAAATGTAATCTAAAGAGCTTAGCAATGAGAATAATGTGGTTTATGTGTGGCAAACAGGCAAAATTCAGGATGTGATACTGCAGGAACATCTGGAAAAAGAGGATGAAGTACTGGTGTCACTTGCTGGACTCAAACAGGTGTGACACTTAAACATTATACACCTTAACTGATGTGCAAAATTGATATTTTACTTAGTTTAATCAAAGCATTTGAATGAATCATTTTGCTTTTGTTGGGAACAGTTTACAGTGAACCACACACCATTTTGGATCTTTGAAATCTGCCTAGCAAGCAGGTTGTGATGACATGCTACAAAATTTCAAATCTGACAAATGTATGAGGTGAAACAACCTAAATTACATTTATATATGAAGTTACTGGCAATGAAGCCTCTTGAGATGCTGCATAGATACAGCCATGGCTTCCAACTTTTATATTTTTGTTGGAGTGAGATTTCTATGGGCCGAGCTGGGGGGGTTGGAGGGGTGGTGCGAAAGGAGGCAGTGAGTGTTGATACTACAGGTTGGAGGCTTTGGGGGATGGGGCAGCGGTCATGGATTGGACATTGTGTAAATCATTTCTGATGAGGCGATCGTTCACACATCCAATCTGGCTCGACTGCAAAACATACTGTCTTTTATTTTATGATCACTTAGGCTGAATCACAAATGGCTCCCTATTCCCTAAGTAGTGCACTACGTAGGTCTCAAAATAATGACTCTGGCACCTAAACAGTGCATAATATGTCTAACAAAAAGGTATTTGAGATTCAGCCACATGTGCACAATTCCCTACAAGTTGTATAGTGAACTACTTTTGTGTACAAGTACATTTTTTTAAAACTAATAAAGTGCACTATGTAGGAGTAAGGAAAGCCATTTGGGTTTCCAAAAATGTTACGCACTGCCTTTTATGCCTTCCATGTAATAAAATGAAACATACGGTAGCTACTAAGCCCCTCGACCACTATGTAACATCATATCCGGAGCTGGGACTGTGAGTCTAAGATTCTGGTACTGCGGCTCTGTAGTTAGACCCTTCTCCTCAAAACAGCGGTTCTTGCACTGCTACTGGCAGTAGCACTGTTAAGTTCTTCACGTGGCTGCACTTCATGGACACAGATTTCAAAGTAAACAGATACACAGTGAAAACTAGCACTGGTTACTGTTTAGCATGTAAGGAGACAGAACTGTGTTCATTTTGCCACATAAAATGTGTAGTCATAAACAGTTTTCTTGTTATTGATCACGTTTCGTTTTCTAATCATGTTGGTTATTTATGTTTTCATTTTCCTTCAGTTTTCATCCATTTGTCTTGCGTTTCTTGGGTTTTCTCTACTTGGACACACAAATGCAGTGCTTTCAGTTCACGCATCTTACTGCTGTCATTGGTTTCCTGTTGCCACAACATATGCGGACCGGCAGCGACTGACAAGTTAGCATGATGTCTTTTTCTTGTATTCAAGTAAACTGCCATTGCCGGTCTAGAGTTAATCAGTGAAAACTAGAATGCAGAATACTAGAAAACTTCATGAGTGTTCAGATTCATCAGTAGGTTGTAAAAATGTGTGAGAAATGTCGAGTGTGGCATCAGAGCATGAGATTAGACTGAATTGGGTGAGTCTCACAGTCCGTGCGGAAGAGTTGGCAGCTCTGGCTGTAGCACTAATTGAGGTTACCTGTCTGCTAGAGGTTTCACATGCAGACATAAACACGCTTTACTCATTGTGCCTCTTTGCAGATCAAAGACATTTTAAAGGGAGCTCTACGCTTTAACCAGAGCCAGCTGGAGGCCGAAGAGAATGAGGAGATCACCATATCAGACAACCACTACTGCTCTACAGCCCAGCACAGAGCTCAACAGGATGGCTCCACAGCTGCTACTGCTGATACTGATACTGATTGTGCACAAATCAGTTCTCAGCTGGACCCCAGCCACCTCTCAGAGCAAGAGAAAGAGATAGAGATGCAGGAGGAAAAGCTGATGCGAAGTGAAGGAGCGCCCACAATAGAGTCACAGGTTAGAGAGGAATTACATCAAGTATTAAATGCAATCATATGCATTTATAATATTTTAGGCACAACGAGATGGCCAATTTAGTACTCAGTTCTGTGTTTTGTTTTTTTTTTCATTTTGTTTTTTATTTTGATTTGATTTATACTTCTGTGAAGATGTTCATAAAGGTATGTGTGGAGACTGAGAAGAGGTTTATGGATAATTATAGCTTGTAGAGTTGGAGAGGTGACCTCCAAAACCCCAATTACAAGCATTGTGTGAATCTGGAGTGCTGTGCATCAAGACGATGCTGACTGGTTGAGCATTATTGAGGTTGGGACAAGATCCAAAACATAACTAAACAAAATACAACATGATAAAAATATCTTCTTAATTACATCCAACATTTTTTACTATCCATTACTCTACACTACAGTGCACCTTGAGACTTTCCTTTCCTTCATGGAGTCCAGACTCAAGATGTTTTATTGGACTAGTAATAGTATTTGTACTCAGACTTGTCTCAGATGCGGCCATTGGTCTTGCCAAATTTTCAAACTGCTGTTCAGCTCAGGGGTTAAACTGGGCCAGAGTGAACTGAAGCCTCAGCATCTTTGGCTCATCTCAGCAGCAAACAGAGCTGAGCCCTCTTTGCTATCTGTAGCTATCTATTACTACTATCTATTTGATAGTAATGTAAACTGTTTCATAATAAAATCTTTGTGAAATTCATTTAACTGTTCAATGTGACAAACAACGATGAGAAATAACCTCCTGTCCCATTCAAGTTCATTAGTTTTTCGCCGCCGCACATTTGCCTCCTTGTATCGTTCTACCACCCTGTAAGTAGTAGTTGCTTCATTTCTGCTTTTTCTGTAAATACTTCAGTAAATAGATGTGTTTCAGTTTTGTTATACCTGAACAAGTAGCTCAGGTTATGTGCTGTTATTTATTCTGTTAAATCTGAAGTAATTTAAAACATTTGTTGCAGAGGTATCTAGTGGAGTTTGTGTAGCCTGTTGCTAAATGTACTCAAAGGCACACATTTGCAGGTGCTTAGGTTTACGGATTGAAAAGTGTTTCCAACATCTGATTGTGTGTGTGTGTGTGTGTATATATATGTACCTACTCGTATGTGTGAGATACATTTCAAATACATTGTTTTATTCCAAAATATATTCCAAACACTAAAGTACATTAAGCAAAAAAAATTGGGCCATTTTCTTACGTTTTCAAGCATATCTCATAAATAAATTTTACATATATTTCTTTCCCATGTGGGATATGAGAATGTATAATGTTAGAGTAAAGCTAAACTGCATATCTCTCACACACACACAGGCCGGCAGTCCATAACAGTAAATTGCATATCAAAAATTCTGATTTACTGTAGATTTTCTGAACTTCCATGACTATGAGTTTAAAAAAAATGAATTCCTTTTGTGGACCAGTTTTAATCTGTCCAATGGAAAACACATTTTTGCAGGTTTTCAGAGTAACCTATAATATATGGGCTGAAAAAAAGTTTAGGCCTCACAACTTTAGTTAATCAAAATTAAGCAAGAGTTTTCTTTTAAGTTTTTAGTTGGTGGTAAACAGGATATACTTGCGTATTTTCAGACATATACCACTTTATTTGCCATGGGGATGGTTTTGTTGTCCCTGCATGTTAATCAGGAATACATACCAAGTGTTGCCAGATTCACAGATACAGAAGTATAATTTGTTCCCGAATGGCTTCTTAAAACCTTATTTCTTTCTCTTTCTTTCTATTCTATCACCCTAGGCTGCTGAAGGGAGGAACTGGGACGATTACATTCTGGTCTCACAGGATGGAGAACTCCAGCCAAATGAGAGCGAGGAGCATGGAGGCTCTGCCATTGCCCCGACCTTCAAGCATGGACGACCTTTCAACAAGGCGGAATTTCAGGATCCTCTTATGGGAACCACCTCTGGCTCGTCCAGTCCTGATGGGGGCAGCACTAACAGCAAGGACTCTGATTTTACCATCGTTAATCCTGCTGACATTTGAACGGTGTAGTTCAGGCAGCCTGCCCTGTCTTTGGATCTTTGACCTTTAACCCCCTTTAGGGGATAAGCCACTCAGCTGGACTTTTGCACATATGAACTTGGGCAGAATGCCTTATGAACCCCTAAGTCCCCAGACCCCATTCCATAACCTGCTCCCTTGACCTTGTTCATATTTCCTATAGACATATATGTATATTTCCTACAGACCATAATCGTCTGTCTATACAGCTGTATCCTCTGATCCACAGCCTATGTCAGCACCTTTGGTTTAGCTTTTTAGTTGCTCTGTACTGTAATTTACCTTAAAACACATTTGCACCCAGAAATTTGGACACCTACAGTTTACTTGATGAATCTTAATACGATCCCATACACTGCACACTATAACGTAATATATTAATAAGCCCCTCATATACTCCCCTTCATGCAGTGTGGCTCTTACTAGTGCTGTACTCTTCATCAGTACTCAGACTATTCTCTTCCTCTCCCTCTCTTTGCATACCGACTATAATAATGTTGATGGCAAAGCGTCTCTTAAACCTGCCAGAGAAGGGGGAGCCTTAATCATCTCCATGAACTGCATCAGTAACATCTATTTCTCTCCAGCATTGATTGTTTATTATCCAGTGCCTGAATACATGTCAATTTATGTATCTATTGACTTCTTCTGTTCCCCTTTTTATTTTTTTCTAATGGATTTTAACCCATAGATGCAATTTAAGCTTTTGTTAAATTATGATTTTTTTTTTTCACCTTTTTTTTTAAATCAGTGATATGCGAACTCTTATGTTCTACTAGGTTATGTTCCTCGTGTCCTTTATCTAATTTCTCTTGGTTCCCATGGTAGCTGTGTATGGCATTGCACAAGAGGGATGTTCTCATATTGAAATGTTGAAATGATATTAACTCCAGATGAATAAAAAAGGCATTATTGCTCTTGACACAACCACTGGTGTGTGCATTTTGCAGTACAATTGTGATTCTTAATTGATATAGTGTTGGCAAAGAGGACTAGATAACTCATTTTTGGCCATCTCGCAAAAAAGACTCTTATTATTAGTTAATGTAAACATTAATATGAATAGTTAACTTGAAGTTCCAGATGGCAGGATTTCCACAATGTCAAGTTCACTTTGGAACTGAGGAGAACAGATTTGGGCTGGGTTTCCCAAAAGCATCTTAGCCCAAAGATGATTCTTAAATGAAAGAGCGAGCATCACACGGAACACTCTCTCTACCAGTTCAGATGATCTTAACACTACGGCGATTTTGGGAAACTGCTCAGTTGCTTACATCCTAGGTGAGGGGGGAAAAGCTGGTATTTGCTGTCTTATCATATATCTGGTCGTTGGATTTGATGGAAATTTGTGTTTAAAACATGGTCGATTTTTTTTAATGGAGGACTCTTTCCACAGTAATGGCTCTTGTTGCCTAAGCAATGTTTTTGACTGGAAATAAAGATTAGCTAATTTGAGGCATTTACTCATCTTTGCAGTAGGAAGGCTTTTACATGATGCAAAAGTTTCAGGAAGATGAAAAACATGAATGTGTCAATAAAAATAAATATTTCATAGGTTTTCTCCTGCTTGTCAGCATCTTGCTAGTAGAGTAAAGGTACAAATGGGTACAATAACGTTTTGACGTATTTTGGCCATGTCGCAGTGTGTCAACGCAAGATTCAGATTTATAACGTAATTTCATCACACAGCCATAAATGAAACCTTAGACTCGTTAAATCAATCTGGTTTCACTGTATGCGGACAAAAACCCTCAGTGAAATGTGTGGGTTCTCCCAATTAGTCCTATACTACTCCAATTAGTGCTGAGTGTAGGCGTGGCGTTGCACTGGGATCTTGTCACAACGCGAACGCTAGTTTAGGTGGATGATTTCAGCTGAAGCGGGAAGGGAATTTGGGCAGATATTAATTTATTGAGATATTTTAGAGGTTTTAGACATGGTAAGTGTAATAAAGCTCACCACATGTACAGTAAAGAGTATGTTCATGTTCGTCGGTGACATTATTTCCAACACATTCTGACTGAGGGAATCCGCGACCTGAGAGAAAGTTAACGTTCGGCTAGCTAAGCCAGTTAGCTAGCTAGCTAACTTCGTTGATTGCATTGACATGCTGGACTCATACTGTTCATTATTTATGTCATTTTTCAATTTAACGTTACACGTAGCTGTTTTATCTTGACGTAGGTACATTATATATGTGTGAGTTTTCTGCGGGGCTAATTGCGCGTGGAACAAGCACCGAGATAGCTAGTTAAAGAACTAGGGGTGGCAATGACTAACCACGCTTATGTTTCGTTATTAACCTTAGCAGTTAGCTGACCACTGTGTGTTTCTGAGTTTGAGTCGAGAGGATTAATAATTTGGCCAGTGTTAACTTCTTCATTTAACTGTGGCTAAAAGCTAAAGTTAAATGTTTCTTTCGTAGATAACAAGGTTAAAACTGTTTTCTGAAAGGCGCGTGAACGGTTAGCTGTGTGGCTAACAAACGGCTTCTCTGGAAGTAAGTTAGCTTAGCTAAATGAAGCCCGTTAAAGTTAGCGACCAGCTAGCGTTGGCTGGGCTAAATTATTAGCTAGATTAGTATGCATAGTATTTCTTCTTTACAAACCCGACAAAACGGATTTTTAGCTTAATGCTTTATTTTATCGAATATTTCTATTTATTCACTTCTAAAACGCTTAACAGAATGTCTGCGGAAATGAACAAATCTCAGTGACGTTGCTTCTGGAATGTTTGAACTTAGTAATTTAAAAGTTAACGTTAACAGCTACCTTATTATATTGTCAAAATGTAAAACAAAAAAGGCTTTCTATAAAATGTGGCTTGTCAAACGCTTTGAATGATTCAGGATATACAGAAACAGCGCCATGGATTTCAGACGTCGGCTCTGAAGCTGTCGAACGGTTACGTCTTACCGGAGGGCAAACTGACCCCTAACACGCTGTTCGTTGGGGGCATTGACATGAAGGTGAGCCGTATCTTCCTAAAATTAAATAATCAAGAATTAAATGACTACTAATGATGAGACTCTTTCCGTCTGCTTAGGTAGAGGAAAACGAGATCCGAGATTTCTTCGCTAGATACGGCGCGGTGAAGGAGGTTAAAATAATCACCTACCGTGGTGGTATCTGCAAAGGGTGAGTGCATTTTCACATTGTGTTTGTGGCGAAGCAGATCATCTCTGTACTGAGCCATGCATCAAAAGTACAGTTTTGAGAAGCCCTGTTCCTGGGCTGTCATTGCTGATTTTTATTTACATTTCGGCATAGGTATGGTTTTGTTTACTTCAGCGAGGATGTTGACATTCAGACTATCGTAGAAGTAAGTAAGGTCACTGTAAAATATTTACATCATTTTCATGGTGTGATGGGTTATCTGAGTCTGTGAAATGAGTGGTAATTTGTTTATTTATTGGGGTCAGGTATGCCTTATCTTGTCCTTGCAGCCCTAATGTGTGACTGCATGTGTGTCTGTCTCTGTCACAGCAACAGATCACTTTCAAAGGGAAGAAACTCAAACTGGGCCCTGCCATCATGAAGGAGCGGAGTTCTCGTGAGTCAGGTTTCCAAGATTTTTTTATTTATTTATTTTGTATGTTTGTTGTTTTAGTATGTTCTGGGGTAGTGATGTGTAGTATGACCTAAGCTAACATTAGCTGCGTTCCAAAGCCTAGGCCGCAGCCGAGGTAAGCTGTGTTTCTTGGCCGCTAAGTCTTAGAAGGCTGTTCCAAAGTGTAGGATGCTTCACTACACAGCCTAGAAATGCAACCTACGTTCTGGGTGATTTGAAGGACGCATCAGATGTTTCCTTCCCGGCCTTTAGTTACCCACAATTCTCTGCGCATGAACGACGTGAAGGAGAAAAAAAAACAGCACAACGAAAATAACGGAAAACAAAGCCATTGGAGCAGAGCTTGTTTTAAAGTACAAATTAATCATTTACTTAAATTTGACTTTGTTACCTTATAAAGTGTAAAATCACTGATTTAATTAAAGAATTCGTCCATATATCGTATTTTATTTAGAAGTATTTGTAAATATGTAGTTTATCGTACTACATAAGAACATCTCCACTTCCATGGAGAAATGAAAAAGCATCAAACACAATGCCACAGGCTTTACTTCCTCTCACCAGTTCCCTCACGAGTTTTGCGCCGCTCTGGTGACGTCACCATGCAGTCTCATTAGTGCTGTTCCATTTGTGTGACCAATAGGCTACTAAGGAGGAGTCTTCATAGGACAGTCCTATCAAGATCCTACAGCCTGCAGCCTAGGCTTTGGAACGCAGCTATTGAATGTTATATTAGGGAATCAGCTGACATGAATGATTTGAGTCAGAGAATTCTTATTAAATACTGTTATAGAGAGACAGTCTATTTATACTGGATGATATCGGCATCTTTTTAGATTCCATCCCATGTAGTGATTACAACAGCAAAGCTGTTATTGGTATTCGTTTTGTAATCTTGACAAGTCTCAGCCTTCTGTTTTGTAGTGATGTCAGAATTGAGGTTTGACTATGCTAAAGAGAGTGGTCAGTGAGCTGTAAATCAGAAACCTGTAATGAACAATGAACTTTTTAGGGCTGGGCCCAAATATTCAACTATTCAGATATTTTTTTGTTGAGTAGGTATTCAGTTTTTAATTTTGGGATTTAGATATTCGTTTTTTTGGTTTTTGTTGTCAGTGAAAATCTGTGAAGACTACAAAATGCTGTAACGTTTGGGGTTCTTTGGAGAAATTTCATGAGGTTCAACGCAAGGTTACAGTCCGCAACACAGCTTTATTTTTAATTTGCTGAAAACCAGGCCAGACACGGCATTTCCAGTGCTAACAGCTCAAAACACAGTCCTCATCACTATTCTGGAAAACCCACCACCAACCTAACATAAACATTTCTTCTCTTAATAAAGTTAGTATAACTGTTAGTATAATTGATTAACGTGCTTTGAAAAACTTGTGTTAAATACTGTCCAGCATCGACCAAATTTAACAGCAGTCTCCAGGACGCAGGCGTGCAGGTGCCGCATGCACCGTTGGTGTGTTTTATGTCAGTGGAAACATGGCGGGCGTCCGTATCCATAAGCTTTCAGAGAACGTGCACAAATATGGACAAAGTGAACGCAGAGTACAGACAGAAGGCTCCTTTTGTATCCGTGTTTTAACGTTGAGTAGAAGTGAGCCTTAATGCTGCATTCATTGAGCTCATTGGAAGGTTGTATATAGCAGATGGTTAACTAGTAAATGCAGTTTAACTCTGTTAGGGTGCTCTTGCATAGGTGCACCTGCCATACAGAGAAAGAACGCATGGAGATTGGAGAATACATTTCCTGCTTTTTCTGGGCTGAGTTAAAACGCACATAGATCTAAAAGAAGCACATCAGCTATGTATTTTCTGTGTTTACTGCAAGTTTAGCGTTTTTCACTCATGTAATGTATAACGTGACCTTTCACCTTTTACATCTCATAAACTTGTGTATCTAGAATCCTGAGTTTATCAGTTGTAAATACGACTTGTTGGATGTTCGAGTGGGATTTACAAGTGGGGCAAATGGTATTACTCCAGTGCCTTTTAAACGCAGTCTGAAATGTCAATATTTTGGTTTTTATAAGACTGCAGAGGGAAGCTTCATTGAACATGTAGAAAGAAAAATGCTGTGAAAGGATGCAACACTTTAAATCTTTGGTTTGTTTATCTAGCTTGCTAAAAGCTTGTCAGTAATGTAAAGTGAAACTTTGTTACCTACTCTTGTAAAAACACTACACATTGTCAGTGGTGTAGTTGAGAGTTGTGCTACCTTGTCGAAATGTCCTACTGTAGCACATATTTATAGGTAGCTCTGTACATGAAATTCTATGTAGGATGTTATGATAGCTTAAATCTCCTGATAAAAAAAGAGACCACCAGCATTAAAACTAAATTTTTTCTTGTTTGCCAACTTCTTGTTTGAATTTTCCCATTCCACCTCAGGCACCAGAATGTAGTTGTAATGTAACTGTCAGGTGGAGTGGGAAAATTAGAAAAAGAAGCTGGTTTGTGTCAGAAAATGTCACCAGCATTAATACAAATTAGGATATTTTGATAGGCTAAATCAGCTTATCAGGGGGGTAAGTAGTAATGTTAAATCTATACTGAATTAAAATTGAAAACACAGACACGTTTAAAACACTGAGTTACCACACTATAGCTTAAATCCAATGTGACAGCATTATTTCTGTTTGTCTGAAGTTTAGTATATAGTTGAACTCTTGTGTTTGGAGCAAAAATCTGCAGATTTTGATCATATATGGAGTGTTTTTGTGCCAGTAGGAATTGAATAAAAGCTTTATATACCACATATAACATACCAACCATATACGAAGAATGTCACGGTTTGTGTGGTTTAACCAATGCTTATGGTTCGTTAATAATATAAAATGAAGCTTTTAGCGTCAGAAAAGAAAAACAATCGGTGAATCAACTGTGAATCGAAACTAAAGTTTTAACACATTTCTGTGGAGCAGAGTCTCCAAAATGAGCTCTGAGTTAGCAGTCACACAAGCTCTGGAACGAGACGCTGCAGAGGTTCAATCTGCACAGCTCCCCTTTCTCGTCTCGCTTGCAGTGTTTACTTTCTGAGAGAATAACTGTCTCAAATCACTCAATGTCCCCTACATAGTGCGCTACTGTTCAAACAAACACGATCTTTATTAACCAGCAGTTGAGTTTTAAATAGGGAATTTGTAACCTGTTGTTAATGTTCATTATAGATGACTTAGTCGAACATTTCATGCACACTTTGGGTGAAGGATTTGCTATTTCATGATCCACGAAGTGCACTACATAGGGAAGATAGTGTGCTTTGAGACGGGACCTCGCACGAGTAACGCTGCATGCTGCTTTTAGGAAAAGCAGAGTTTCAGAGATTAAACTTCAGGAGTGTTTCTGCCGCAGCTCAGATGCATGTTCGTTTTAAGTTATGTTTTAGTTTTAAAATGCTTTTAGAGAAGCAGCTCCACAGGTGAAGACACACTGTGTGAGTTCTACACTGTCTGCAGCTCACAGCGCGGTCACGCAGTTCCTCTGTGATTTTGGCTGTTTTTCCTGGTGCACTGTGTTGATTAGGGGTACAGCGCCACAACGGCACAATAATGCTACAATTGCAGTTAGGACAGAAATCCCCCGAGTGCAGCCCTTCTTAGAAGTAGTAATTTTCCATTAAGACCCACCTCAGAGTTGGTCGAGATTTAATTCTCTATGCAGGGAAATCCCTAGTTATTGTAATTAATAATAATAATAATAAGAAGAAAAAGAATAATAACAGTAATAATAGTAATAATAACTGTAATAATACATTTGCTATTCTTTCGTTTACAGAGTATTACAAGTATTGTAAGTAATACAAAAGTAATACTAAAAATGTAGTGACCTTATTTTTTAATGTTTATGAAAACAAAAAGTGCATATTGCTGCCAGTTCTATTTGTGTTAATATAAATGTTGTTGAAACGAGTTTCAGTTTGTGTATCAGTATTTATTTTTTAATTTATTTTACTTTTCAAAACATTTGAACAATATCGCGATAATACCGATAATTGTGATAATATTGGTCATGATAATTGTGATAGGAAATTTTAATATCGTTTCATCTCTAATAGTGTGTTAGGCTATTAAAAACAAGGATATTTTCACAAGCAGAGCCAGACATTAACCCTCGTCCGTTATTCGTGTTTGTGTTGGACAAGTGGATGATGAATTTACTTGTCCAGTCAGACAAGTAAATACACAAGGTAAAAAAACTATTTTAAAAAATTATTTTACAAAGAGTGATGACATTTAAGAAAGATAATTTCAGCAAATAGCTTAAATCTGTTTCCCAGAAGAGTAGCCTACCTATCAAGGGCCATTTTCTACAAAAGTAATTCTTATGTGAGCAAAGTTACGCTATGATACTGAAGGATTTCAGTTTAAAACATTTTTTAAACACTACATAATAATTCTTTGCAACAGCAAACAAGTAACATTTCATAATGTCAATTTGTCGGCAGTTCAAAAATGATTACATATTATTCAGTCGAACAATCTTGAATAGATTCTTTTCATGTAGACCTGTTTGGATATCCGACTAAGTGTCAGTTTGGTATAATCAGGTCCACTCCCAACAATTAAGGCAGAAACAAAATCAGTGTAATTGTAGTACCACAATGTTAATTTTTTTTCTTTGTATATATTTATACTAATGCTTCCTAAATTAGTTGTAAGTATGTCATATGAATTAAATTTTGCTTAGCTGTCATGGCAGTATCTTCTACTAGGTGCAGTTAAGGCATTTATTATCTGTGTTAGTTGTGTATTCATTTGGCTGTTACATTTGGCAGCATCATACATTTGGCTGAGTTAGTTTTGTTTTTGGGTATTTTTAATCTTAATACTTTTGATTTAAGCTTGTTTACAAGGAAAGTATCTAGTTTTTCTCTAGAAGAAATCTAGAGGAAAACAGTGCCATATTCCTCAGCTTTCATCGATTTGACAATTCACGATTTTATGTTGTTTTGTTTTGTTACATGTAGACAGATGTCAATATTACTTTCTAACCATAATGAGGTAAAGGCAAGTGTATGTACACAGCGGCTTCTCTGAGCGTGACAAAACTGAAATGAAGCTGAAGTCAGCTTCTTGTTTAAATTTTCCTATTTCTCCTTGAATGGTGCAGCAGTTAAATTCTGGTGCCTGAGGCTGAGGAACTGCAGAGACTCTCAGCTTGTAAGCTGAGGGAATGTCTGTTTTGCACTGTCTGTCTATTGCATTTTGTGCATTTATGTGCATACTGGTATGATGGTAATGGCAGAACTAATACCTTAAAAAGAATTTCAGCCAGTACGCTGGATGAACTGATATATCACCCACCACTAGATATAGAGTCAATTGTGAAATGAAAAACAAGTTTTGTTACATTAGTAATGTAATTAGAGCTCAACAGGCTGCACCTGTAGTGAAGAACCATATTTTTTAAGAGTATAAATAGACTTGAGTCATGATTTCACTGAAGTAAAAGTAATCTGAGTATGGGTTTAGGCTACTGTGCTCAACCAACCTGGAGAGTTCAGATCCAGCATACAACTCTGACATTCAAATACTCTTAAAGGCCTTCATTAGATGAATCAGTTGTGTAAGATTAGTTTTGGAGCTAACTGCTGCAGGGTGGTGGATCACTAGGATCAGGCTTGGGCACCCCTGGTTTTAACCGTAGCGTGTGTGGGTTTAGTTGGCATTGTTCACACTTGCATTGTTCTTTATCTTAGTGACATGTTTTCATATCTAGGTTCTCTCCAGTCCCCTCTGGTTGGTCCATCTCAGTGGGTAAGCCCCTCCCCCTACATGTACTGTACCTGTTGCCCTCCTGGCCTGGCCCCACCCTCACCTGTGCTCAGTGGAGGTAGTCAGTATCTACAGGTGAATACACAGTTATGTTATTCAGACCACATTAGCAACATGAGGTTAGATGCTCTGTTCTTTATTTCTTGTTTCATTAAGTATTTTGGGGCCAGCAAGTTCTTAAATGGTGAATAGTATGCTATAATTACATTTACATGCTAGATTCTAGTGGTTGATAATATATTTCAACATTTTTAGTGTGCTTTGAGTTACTTCATTTGTTTTTATTTTTATCTGATTGAATTTGTCGTGTACATAAATGTTTTTGAAGATGTAGTGTGTTTGCTATTTCTGTAACAAAAGTGTTTTTATTTACATCCCTTTGGAGGTCATTGTATTAAGATGTCAAATTATTAAAATGCCCTGACATTTATAAGGATGGACAGAAACTTGAAAACAATAGGAGCTCTGTTGACACCTAGGGCCAGTGATATCTTCTCTGTTCTTCCCAAGCCATATTCTTACACTGGCTTTCCAGGGGTAATGATCCCTCAGGTGCCTATGAACTACACACAGTCATCTTATGCGTATCCGGTACGTAAAGACACCCTCAGTAAACATGTATAAGAATGTTTAAGCATCCTAAATGACTGCAGTTGACTTTAGCATCTTTTATAGTGTTCAAATAAGAACATGCACATCAGACGAGTGCAGCCCTTTTGATTCACTCACTGAAATGTGTCTCTGGTTGAGAACATTTTGCCATCTGCCATTCTCATTGCACAGCTTAACAGCTGGAATGAGGGAAGGCCCAGATACATATTCAAATCCCCAGTGTCAACCTTTTTAGTCAGTACATAAGGAACTTAAGGAAAGTCAGTTATTCATCATAATCAAGCTGAGTCACAGACCAGTGTCAGGCTGTTTGCCAGTATAAGCACAGTTTAAACAAGCTTTTGAGACATCCATATAGTCACCATTTAATCTTCTAGTATAAGTACCATTATCCCTGTTTGCAAGGATGTATATGATATATTGGGAAGCCATAACTTCAGTTCTGAACGTGTGTGCCTGCTCTGTAATGTGGCAAGCAATACATTTTTTGCCCAGGTAAAACTGCACTACACTTTTATTGTATAGGTTACCAGTTAAAAACGGTCCATACTGATCTGTAATTTTTAGATGTGAATTGAAGTTGTAGGTTTGCACCTTTTATCTAAGCGGCACAAATATGGTCAGTGCTGGGGAAACAATTTCATTCTTGTATTTTTTGTACTAGTATCCCCTACCACCACAGTGGTGTGGTGACCAGAGGACAAGGCTGATCAATCAGGTCAGTTTTCTGCATCTTTTTTTCAGCATCATATATTTGGATGTGGTGGGAATATGATGAGTACTGATTTGATGCCTAATGATTATGTTTCAGTTCAATTACTTACAAACAGTTTTAGACCTGTCCCAAATTATTTGGTCCCATCTGATTTCTTCTTCATTCATCACAAGCTTCATGAGTAATAGATTTAGATGTCATGTCCTGTGGTGTGTACCTTCTTTAACCATTGGAGGGCAGTGCTGGCTTAAACTGTGAATTTAATGTTATGAAGAGGTTATGGATTGTTGGGAGGTATACATAGCCCTAGGGTGAAGTAATATTTGTGTGTATAGGGTAGTGTGTCACAGTATCAAAATTAGTTTGTCCAGTGCTTTAACATCTATTGTGTATGTGTTTCAGAGCTATGTAGATTGTGGGGTCCAGACCTTGCTGACTCTCCTATAGTCCTTTGCTGTTTCAGGTGTGGATTGTTTTTCTGGTAAGAATCCCCATTCCCCTTTTTTTTATAATGTTTTACCAGTTACTGGAGACTACATTACATGGCTACATGTATGTGGACTAGGCTTTTGAGATTGTGTAATGTATAATATTGTCTGATCATGCCTCTAGCCACCCCCTTTAGTATCTGTGGGGTCCAACTCTAACCAAGGAGTTATTGCCCTTATCTCTCGTTGCCCCTTTCCTCATTGGAGGTAATGTCATAACGTCACATAGACATGTTAAACATGCCTTACTGTGTTGTCAGAAGTAGTTAAGCTAACTTTGTTCTTGGTGTGTTTTAGTAGTCCTTTTAGCTTTTTTAATGAATTGCACATTTACAGACTATAAATTGCTTCTTGACAAAATATTAAAATAACTTAAGCTTACTAAGTAAGCCTTACTGTTATTGCAACCTACTGGCATATTATGCTGGACTCTATTTAATTGTATTTTGTTTTAACTTCAGTGTAATCAGGACATCAAAATTATTTAAGCTTACGTTCATGCTCATGAGGGAAGGCGTTCTGTGCATGGCTTGCAGTTGGCATTGGGGCTGAATTCAGGGCTCTGTGAAAGTCAGTCAAGTTCTTTTACAAATACCTCATCAAATCATCTCTTTATGAACTGAGCTTTGGGCACAGGGACATAGTCATGCTGAAACAGGAGCAAGAGCATTCCCCAAAGTGTTGCCACAAAGTTGGTACCACACTTCTTCTTCTAGAATGTCATTTACTGTAGTGATAAGATTTACCATCACTAGAACTAAGGGTCCTGGCCCAAATCATGAAGAATAGCCCTAGGCAATTATTCCTCCACCACCAAACTTTACTCTACGCACTGTGCATTCGGTCAGGTAGAGTTCTCCTGGCATCCACCAAACCCAGAGTCCAGTTGCGGCTAATCAAACCCAATCCATGAAGCTCCCGATGACCAGCTGATGTTCCAGAGGCAGTTTGGAGTATGGTAGTTAGTGCTGCAGCTGTGAATAGATGATCTTACGTGCTTTGCACTTCAGCACTTGGTGGTTCCATTGTTTGAGCTTGTGTGGTCTACTGCTTCATGGCTAAGCTGTTGTTGAGTTGTTATTTGACTAACTGACTTGTTGGAATGGTGGTGTCTTATGACTGTGCCACATTGAAAGTTGCTGAGCTGTTGAGCTTCTAGCTGGGTGTTCACATGTCTGTAGATTAATTTTTGTACTTTACAATGTCTCAGGAAATAAGTTGTCTTAAATTTTAATTCACATGATTGTAGGATTCAGGGTTTTTCAAATAACTTTCACATAACTCGCTCTGTGTGCGTTGAGCTCACGTTACCTGCTGTTTAGCTAGCTTACACAGACTAAAACAGCAGTATGAAGGGATGTAGTTTTAACAGTAAGCAGAGGTATGCTTTTTAATTGTTTTATTAAACTTTGTATTATTTAGAAATGGAAAAGGGAAATTGTTTGGTTTTTGCAGGTTAAATCAGTAAGAAGGCTGTGCCTTTAGATGAACTATTGAGCTAACTGTAACACTAAACCTGAAGCAGTAATGATGTTGACCTATGGACTCTACACAACATAACTTTTAACACCCATAATATTGGGAACAGAGAAATACCTGTTCATTGTTTTTAGTTCAAGGTAACACCAGTTATAGTAGAGCTGACTATCTCTGCCTTTTCATTAATGATCTTAGCAACACATCCTTTGCAAGTCATTTATGCTTTGTAGTAAGTGTAGGGTAATATACGTAATGAGAAATAAAAGAAAGATTGTCACTTTTTACAGCCCTTGTTTGGCTTGATTTGGTAAATTTAACTACAGACATGCAGTTTGAGTACGTCCCGTTCTACTGCCAGTGTTTTATTTTTTTTAATAGAGATTGCATGACTGTATGTTTTGATTCTGTGAACTCATTATTAATGCGTGTGGCTGAAATAGCCAAACCTACTCATTAGAAGGGGAGCCCACATACTTTTGGCCATGTATTGTGTTACAGTCAGAACAAATGGTTAATATTGTTTAAGCATTATATCTAGGGCTGGCCCAAATAGTGTTTTATAGGCTTTGAATACTTGTTGGTGTTTCTGAACAGTTACTCTAATACTCCTTCTCAATACTATCCTTAAAAACAATAAAATTTATATTTCATAAATAGCCATAGTTTATAGTATGTCAGTCCATTTAAGTATGAAAGTTTATTTGTTAGTCCGGTTTTTACTCAATATTCTAGTTTTCGAATTTGTAACAGTTTTACACACATGCATTTTTTTTTTTAAACAATAGATGCCCAAAGATGCAGAAAGTGCTGCTTTTTAGATAAGGAGACTGACTGGGGTTTTGCTAACCTAAATAACAGTGACGACACAGACATAGTTCAAGACATAAACCTTTAAAAATGTTTGTTTAGCAATGTGCTGTCATAGTCAATTTAGCTGGTTTACAGAATGGATAGCCAAGTTCGTATTGCATTGCTAACTTAGTGGCCCAAGTTCAAGATGTATTGTGACTAAACCAGCCTAGTAGGAGTGAAATAATCGTAGTTGTGAGTGTGGACTTCAGGTGGCACTACCTAGACATAACATGATGCACAGCATTTTATATAACTTAAGAACATGTCCATCCTTAGGTAATTACCATTCTTGGTTTTGTGCTAAAATGTTTTGTCTGAGATGGCAATGAACCTCCAGCTCTGAAATTGTCAGGAATCTACAAGAGTGCCCTAGAATGCTGTTGGATTCTACGAAGTTAATGGAGGACAAAGCTTCTGAACGAATATTTGAATATTCAGATTATTTGGGCCAGCCCTAATTATATCTGTAGGAAGAATCTCTCATTAACAAAGATCTTGGAACAACTAAATATTACACATAGATATGGAATGCTTTTAATTTTTTCTCATTTAGGTTGTATTTTCTGACCCTTCTGCAGTTTTATTGAATGTGTAGTATACTTTGATTGCGCGATTAAATGGCATGTATTAGCTAGGCTTAGATGATACTGAACATTTGACGATAATACTGCAAATGTAGGTAGTAGTGATGCTTGTGTGGATAATCTGGGGTTAGAAAAGAAAAAAAACAGCTTTACTGTCCTCGACCACTCTCATCCTGTGTTGTATTTGGTTTCAGGGTCAAGTCCTGCCGAAGCAGAAAATGACATCATCTTGGAAATGGCAGAAATTTCTGAGAGAACATTCTCATGATTCTACCTTTGGTATGCTTTCAGTGTGTGTGTGTTTTCAGACTATAAAAAAGGCCCCATGCTGAGTGACATCAGTTTGATAGTAGGTCAGGCAAAATCATGGTCATGTGGTCAGACTTCTAACTGCATACAGCGTGTGGGTCCACATGCTTTGCTCTGGAGTACACTTCACACACACACTGCCTTTTTTTTGTCGATTTATTTGTATTGTGCATTTGTCTTTGTCATACCAAACCTTTAAAAAGACACTTTTAAGATCACAAGTATGTGTATTTATATTTTATGTTAACTAAGATTTATGTTGTCTTTATTTTAAATTTAATGCACCTCCGTCGCTCTCCAAATGCTTTGTTGATTTTGAGGGGAGACGACTTTTCTCGAGGCTTCTGGAATTGTTCAACGAATTCAGTTCAGTTTCATCAACTTCTATACAGTCATTCAGGCTGGCAGGGGTGTATTTATTTACTTCTTAACTCACGGCTTTAAACGCTTTTTTTTTTAATTTATATTAACGTTTACATTTTTATGCATGTATTTACTTATTTTATTATTTTGTGTTTGAACTACTTGGGGATGCCCAGTACTTAACTCACTATTTTGAGTGTTTATCACTGAATTGGGGTTTCTGTTTTTTTTGGCTTTGCCTGTTTGGTTATCAGATTTCAGTCGTTCCATTTGCTGTAATGTTTGTGCAGTTGTGAGGACAGGGAAAAGAATCACTGCATAAATTCAGACAATCAAATATATCTTTTAAACTCAGCCCTGTAATAGTAAAATGTCTTAGGCGCATTGAGTTTGTGATGTTTTAAGTCAATGAAAATGATTGATGCTTCACGTTCTATCACGATTTGAGGTTAATGTTTGTGATGTTTTTTGGTGGAGGTTTATTGGTTTTTGTTCTTTATTCAATTTTTGTGAATGCTCACAGTCTTTTGTTTTCCCTTTCCTACGTTACTTTTTTCTTCACTGAGGTAATGTATTGTAAAAAACATCTGACGTTAACACAAGCAGGATGATTTTTGTTTATAATGGTCAGTTTTAGAGTTTTCATTTTCCCATAGATTTGTCATTTTCTCACTAATATTTAGGTTGGCATGTAACCAATTTTGTGCCAGCATTAGCACAACAAAGTATAAAGGATTAGTAAACAATTCAGAACATTTCCATAAAATTGGCATTTGGTTAATTCATTTGGTCATCTCCTATGGCCTCATAGGACTGTAGTTTCTTCTCGAATTGATGGCATTAGTCAATCACTGTCCTTAGGGTTAAAATGTAAGCTAGTTTAAGGTGTTATAAGGTTTGGTGTCTTGTCTTGTTTAAAATAAATAAAGTTGAAGTTAATTAAAGTAAATAATTAAAAGTTTTCCATGGTTTGCCTCTGCTTTGCACTTAAATGGAGATTCCTGGCTGATACTAAAATTTAGGACATGTGGTAGAAAACCGAAATAAAGTTGTGTTTTACCTATAAGATAAAAAAAAAAAACTTGTGTACACTTGTCTGCTAAGCTGACAACAAATAAAAAGTTTACGTAAGATAAATGTGCTACCATTTTAACAGTATGTAAACTACAGAGCGTGCCATAAAATCCAGCGTTCCTCTCCAACAGAGAACATCAATTCAAAACCCATGGCCCCAGAAGTGCTAGTACAGATGGCAGTCCTTTCTGCTGCTGTATTCTGTGCATCAAGCAGGATGTCTTTTTTTCAAACCTTTCTCAGAGAAGTTCTATAGCGTCATGCCCTCTCTTGATACCTGACATGAACAGTTAATACAAAACGCTTGTCTACTGTCATTCACAATAGTTCCACATTTTTTTTTCCACTGCTTATCTTGCTTGCCATCAAAGGCCCAATCCCATTTCCTATTTTTACCCATACTTGTTGCCCCTTGGAACTGAATTACAAGTACACTGCTTCACTAACAGGCTACTAGCGGTGCTCCGTAGGTGACTCTGCCAGTCTGCAGTGATGGCAGAGGAGGATAAAGTTTAGCAACCTCACTGCTGGGCTTTAGTTAAATATAGGGCATCATAAGCCTTCAAAGAGGAGGGATGAGACTATTATTTATTATTGCCGCTCCTAATTCTTCAGTGATATGAAGCTGAAGTCAGCTATTCACCAGTTTCTTGTTTGAATTTTTCTGTTCAACCTTAAGTGGAGGAGCAGCAGTTACGTTAGCGATTTTAAATGCTTGTTATGAAGAAAAGGACTGAAATACATGGAAACCTCATTAAACTAAGATAATACAATGGTTATCGTAATGATTTTTGAAGGAGAAAATACTGGGTTTCTTGGGTCGCTTGCACAGCCATCTTGCGTTTTGTTTTTTTTTGTTGTTTTTTTTTTTCTTGTAACACTCTATTTGGGGTGTGCCTCTGAAAAACCTCCGTTTATAAGGCCATGTAGCCCCAGTGCTTCGCAGTACCCTGCCATCTCAACAAAAATCAGCCCCCCTTCCCCTGGGAATAAATACGCAAAACTGTGGGCTAGGGCTAAGTGGTAGGGGCATGGGGTGACATGGGATTGGGCCAAACCATACAGAACCATCTACAGCACATTGTCTATTCATCTAAAGAACCCTTCAGTCATGCAAAGCGTTCTTAGAGTAGTTCAGTTTAGATTTTATTTGATAAAGAACACTTGAAGAACCATCTTCTTTAAGAGTGTAGCGTAGTAGCAGTTTATGGCTCTTCTGTGTATGACTAAATTTTGTTGGTGTTTGTGTGTTCACATTAAATGAAACGTCTTGTTAACTTTAACCTCTGCATAGTATGTATTTATTGTGTGTGAAGTCTCATAAAGTCTCAGGTTCTGCGTGTTGAGGAGGGGGTCTCGTATCCTTTCCGTTGTCTGGCCTCTCACAGACTGCTGAATTATGCATCGGTCTCGCCTGCTGCACATGAAATATGAATTTAATATCGACCCCCCCACAGACAAGTGCTCACATGACTAACATTTGCGTATGTGACCTCCCTCAGATATCAACAAAACGTAGTAACCTCAGTCACCCTCTACTCTCTGTAAACAACATAGAAATTCAACAGAGACCATATCCCACCGGACACCTAACTTGCGCTTAAAAATAAAATCTGCACAACTTGCTCTTACCCCAGATGTAGTCCATGGGCCAAGACAAGCTTGAAGTCTGAAGTTTGCTTCTTCAGTTTACTTCAGTACTGGAAGCTAATTACCATCTAGGCATGCCTTCTCAAGTACACATACTTCCGTGGTTTATGTATGAGAGACTCTTAGTATGTTGCTAAGACAGTAGTAGCAGCTATTTTAAAGCCTGAATTTTGTACATACTCTTGGCATATTACTACATTCATGTAAAGCAAAACTGTAAATAGAAAAGATATTTTGCTTAGTTACCACTTCAAGGCTTAACCTTGCTTAAGCGTTCTTGGTATTTCAATAAATGTGTGTTTAAGCTTGGTGATACACGGTTATGTCTCTCATAACTATGACCATGTATCAGTCATCTATGTTGTAAATGTCACTTTTTGCTAATTTCATAACAGAATTCAGTGTTGCTGCTTGATTACGCATTTCATCTGAACTGTCTGTCTCCCTGTGCTGCTTTGGGTGTCAAATGAGAAAATGAAGAGCGTAGCAGAGTGCAAGTTGGCAGCGCTGGAGTAGGCTGCCTTTGCTGTTATGCAGATAGAGGAGGGGGCTTGCTTACACACTCCCACTTTATTGCTGGGCAGAAAAGACGACACGCAGAACGGAGTCGGACTTCTCCTGCCTCCACTCTGCGCTAACAGAGCAGAAGAGTGAAGTAGAAAAGGCGAAGCATTGGCAGCGAGAAACGAAGGCTTGCTTTTGGCTCACATCTAAACAACAACTAAGCCTCTACTGCAGAGCACCAAAGGTATGTTTTTGATTTTTATGTTTGCAGGTATGTTTTGCTCTTTACATTCAATGTTGTAAGCTCTGATTTCAGTTTTTGTGTTCATGTTGTAAAGCACAGCCCAAACTTCATATGGATCTACAGTTCTTTGATTTATCTCCTTCTGTCTGTTGATTATAACTCATTTGCATGTACTTGACGCTGTTAAGTTTATAGATGTAAGCTAGCGCAGATGTAACACAACCTTGCTTATTTTGTGGTTTCTGTTCCTCGCTGCTTCTCTCCTGCAGGTGTTCCTTCTCTCCTTATATTCTCACCTGTTTGGATCCTTGGGTGTTTGTGTTTTAGGACCTCATGCAGTGTTGCTTTGTTTTTGGAGTTTCTCAAATTTTAAGTCTAAAGTGGTAGGATTTCTTTTTCTACTTGGATTGGTGTTTTGTAGCCTGGTTGACTATCTTTATGGGAACTAGATAAACAGGAAAACATGAAAATTTTGATATTATGGTGACAGTATCATTGCAGTGGTAACAAAATCTTGCGTCTACAAAATGAAAAAACTTTTGAGAGAGATTTACCAGATTTAATAAGTAAATTTGGACTATTTCTGTTTCTGTATTCACACAATTTAAATGGCAAATGACGTTCAAAAAAAGATTTTGACACTACTGTGACTAAAGTAGGCTATGAGTAGGTAAATTGATAAAATAAGTAAATATGTGATAACATTTTGATTATTGAGAACTTTTATGATATTATTGATATAAAAATTGGCTTTAATGAACAGTGTGGGTAAAAAAAAAAGTACTTTACTGTGCAGTCAAAAAGATAAGAAAAGATTGGAAGGAAGCTTTTGCTGCAAAAGAAGGAAGCCCTTGAAAATATTGCACAGATAAATTAATCGCGTGGCAAAAATTGAGACCAGTAGGACAGATTAAAATATGCGTTATGCAAGGGTCAGCAAATTTACTTTAATGCATTTTAATACTCCTTTGAGTCATTTCATTAACTTGTCACGGCTATGCATGTGATTTATATGGCAGCGTTTACTGATACAATTTTCACTTTATAAATAGCTTTTGTATCACCACTGTATTAATGCTAATTTATGCAAGTGTTGAAGGGAATTGTTTTGTTTGCGTCTGGCAGTGTTGTTTGCTTCTTACATAGTATGTAATAATATTTATGTAATAAGCTCTGTGTAAAAAATTAACATTCAAAGCAGTTGAAGCTTGTAACAGACATAAGTGTACTTTGTTGCAATTTTACAGTAAATCATTCATAATGCATTACTGAATAGTATTGGAGAAACTGAGCCTGTTAGCTGTATTCTGAGCTGTGCAGCCTAAACTTTCTATATATGCAGTTTGAAGCATTAAACGACTGTTATTTCATATGCATCAAATTTGTTACTACCATCATACGTGTTTCCTCTTTTAGCGATGCACACAAAAGCAGCTTGAATGCTAAGAGCTCCCCCTTGTGAAGGATCTTCACTCTGCCAAATATAACTTTAGAATGACCAGCGGATACTTCATACAAATTGCAAACTAATCATTAAGCTTAGTCGTTGATAACTTTTTAATCGATCAGTTCTTTTAATGTAATTCATCATTACAGCTCTAGACTAAATATACATCAATTATATTTAGGTGTACTTTTTTACAAAAGTGCAGTAACCAGTGGTGCAAGAGTGACTGTGTGCATGTTACTATAGTTTTTAAATTTTTCTTAAGTTTTTAATTTTGGTTTTGTTTTGAGTTTTTGATTTTCAGTTAGTCTTAAGGGTGCATTAATAATTTTAGTTGTGTTTTTATTTTCTGAAGCAATAGTTTCTTTTTATGTAGTTTAAATTTAATTTGGTTTTTAGTATTATGATGAACGGTGTAATTTTAGGCATTTAAAAAAGATGAAACGGATTTAATACAAAAATAGACTGAGCTCTCACTAAATTTTTGTTTTAGTTTTGTCTGACAGTTTTGTGTTTTTAAAAACTCGTTTTATTTTTATTACAGTTACTGAGCAGTTTTTTCAGGGCTTTTTGGTGTGGTAATAGTTTTAATTAACTATAATAACCCTGGTGCATATGTGTTAGGAGGTGAGAGGTCGCTATAAAAGCAGATGGTGTGCTACCTAATGGCTACCTGCAGTTAGTATTTCTGAAGTGTGGGTGGGCATAGATGTGCACGTGCAGTGGAGGCAGATTTGAGTGACAGACTGCAGACTGAGTGATAAAGCGGCTGGTTTCAGAGAGGGCTAGGGGAAAGAAGGATGGAAGAAGAGATGGAGACGATTATGAGGATGATAAATGTGAGGCAGATGCGCTATCATTGCCTCACAGTCCTTTCAGCTAACAGAGATACACACTCAGTCTCTTCTTAGAGGGATCCCTCCAAAATTACCCTGAATAGGCAGGCAATTCTGGGTCACTGTGGAAATGTTCATTGTGTGAAGATAAATGCCTTTGAGGTCTGTCTAATTTAAATGGGTTAAGGTGGCTAGAAATATTTGTAGAATTTTATACTAGTATGTGAAAAATATGCAAATTCTGTTATTAGTGTATCTCACTAGAAATATTATGTTGGTCATAATAATACAAAACATAAATACAAAGCAATTTTTCAATGTTAGAATCAACCATAATCAATCATAATTACATTCAGTAAAATATGCATTCATTTGTTGCTTAAGTTGTTATTTATTTGTTTATTTATTTATTGGTAAAGAGTAAAAAAGCAAGAGTGAACGCTAGTTCAGTGGCGTAGTCCATGTTGGAACAGACAAAATGCACCAGCAACATAGCACGTTTGAAAAAAGGCTTTAAACTGTCAATACAATTACTATTATTATGAAAAAATGGAATGAGCTGTCTGTTGAATTTGTTAAATTTGTAAATACAATTTATGTAAATATCTCTAACTGGTCTGAACCTATCTTTTTATAATACATTGTAGTAGAAGTGCTGATGATACCCATTATATATCTGGAAAAAAGAAATGTGACCTAATTTATCACAATAATTTACATTGCCCACACTAGATTGGTGTATTATTTTTGTCTGTATTTCACTACACTGTAAATGGTTACTTTAGTCATGTTTTTTCTGTATTTTTTTGAAAAAATAATTCTGAATTGTACCAAAAATATCTTTATTAAACCAAGATTTCTTGATACATTAATATTTTTGAAAGAAATTGATTGAGTTGTTTTGAAGTCAGAGATTTACACCCTTAGTGAACAATGAAACCAAGCATGCTTTGCCCCATTCTGTGGCTCCTCAAGCTTTTGACACATTACCATTACCTTATCATCTCATACCTTATCATTTTATATTCAGCACTGCATTTATTTTTTCCTTTTCATTTTCCTGTGACTGTGTTCCTAACTTACTCACATAGCATAGTCGATTATGTGCACGTCTGGTGTGCCTTGGGATGTAAAGGATTTGGATGTGTGAGTGTATGTGCAGGATACACTGTCTGTAGTAACTATAATCCCTGTGTAGCTGCGCTGTCAGTTTTTTAAGTTTCAGTCAATAACAGGGCTTGTAATTTCTCGTGAATGGGTATTTTGCCAAGTGGATGTATTCGCCATTCCAAAATCAAGATTGTCCAGTTTCTGCATGAATGGTTCTAGTTGTCTCTGGAACATTTAAAAGCCAGTGATCTGGGCTAACCAATCTGTTGCCAGGCCAATTAGAGCCAGTTATGTTGTGACCGACAGCTTTGCAGAAAGGGCAGAGCAGGCCAGAATGCTTGGCTTATAGCATTAATGTCTTTCCTTCTTGCCATTAGATGTAGATGCCTATTCAGTCAGTACTGAAAAGGCTAATTGCATCATGAATTAATTTTATATTTTACTGAAGAACACAGAATTTTGGTAGCAGAATTTTCTCCATGGAACCAGATTTAAGCGCTGAGAAGATGCTGCTCCAACTTCACAGGTCTGTGGTAACTCTATGGTACTGAGAAGTATTTGTAATTGGTTTCTGATGGTTAGGAAGGAACATGAAAAAAAACAGAGAAATCAGAGGAGGACATGGTGCAATACAGATTTTTTTCTTCACTGGTCTTGTGAAGAGTTCAGTGTGGTGTATCTGGTTGGACAGTGTAATTTGGCTCTTCATGTGTCAGTAATAAATTGTGGCATACTTAATGTTTTTGGAGCACACTGAGAAAGAAGATAAAGTACCTGGTAGCCAAGATTAAATCGACAGTTCATTCAGTTTACACAGTTTCTCCCACCACCTAAATTCCATCCCGGCAGTAGAACAATGGACCAGCATTCTCACCCTCACCTTTGGAGATGAGCTTTGGGTGATGACAGAAAAAAATGCAGATATAAGTGGCAGAAATGAGCTTTCTTCGCAGGGTAGCGAGCTACACCCTACTTAACGGGGTGAAAAGCTCAGTCATCCAGGAGAAGCTCAAAGTAGAGCCGGTACTCCTCCACGTTGAGAGGAGCAGGTTGAGGTGGTCTGGGCATCTGATTAGGGTGCTCCCTGGCTGCCTCCTGTTGGAGGTTTACCGGGCACGTACCTGGGCCGAGACTCTGAGGTCCCAGGACCCACTGGAGGGATTATATTTCCAAGTTGTTCTGGAAGCGGCTCGGGATCCCCCAGGATGAGCTGGAGGAATTTGCGGGGAACAGGGTCTTCTAGGTTTCTCTGCTTTCCCTATTGCAACCGGACCCTAGCTGGATCAAGCAGGTTAAGAAGATGAAGTTGAAGAAAATTGTCTAGCTCAAAAATTCAAAGAGTGCAAAAATGTATAGGTTTTAACAGGATGCAGGAGATCTTGCTGTGTTAGATGGTATATCAGTATGTATTTGGGGTCAAATGACTTTCTTAAAAAAAAATTGCTGTAGCTTGAAGATTAAACAAATATTGTATTATCTTCTACTAGTTAATTGATGAATGAAAATATAGTAGCAACGTTAGTATGAAATGCAGTTATGTGCTTTGGTGCAAGCATTGTAATACCGAGATTGATGGATATAAAATTCCAGGAATGTCATCAGTGAATTTCAGTGAATGGGATGATGGAGGGATGAAAGAAAGGATAAAATGCTTTGATAGGTGAGGGCAGCCTATATGAATATATTGAGTATGAATATGTTGCAGGCATCAAATTTAGAACAAGCACATATATACAAAGAAATTAAAAATTAGTTGAAACATTAAATATCTTTTCAGTTATGTACAGGTTTAAATGTATTTGCAAATCTTTGCTGTCTGTTTTTGTTTTCCTACTGTCCCAAATTTTTTGGAAATAGGTTTGTACTATCAGTCGTTATGAAATTCTTGGCTACGAAATGCTTTATGCGCTTGGCCAGGAGTTGAAGCTCATATCAGTGAGTTTCTGCCAGAGGACTGAGGGAAGCTAAGTTAATCTTAATGTAGGCTAATCTTAACACTGCAGTGGCCCTCTTTTCTCCTGAAGTTGACCTCCATTTGCATTTTGTCCTGATTTAGTAACACAGAGGCCCGTAGTCATGTCGTTTTCCCCTTCTTAGTCATGTCTACTTGCCCTCTGATTCACCTGTTCTGCCTCATCAGACCTTTGCAAACCAGTGTAGCCAGTAAGCCGTCATTTTGCTGGACTCTGTTAGTCCAGGGGTGGCACCACTGTCACTTTGTGTTAGGCTGATGTTTGCTGTGGCCTCACGCTGGAGATGTAACAGTCATTAGAATTAGCCACATGCTAATTCTCCAGCATCACGCTCAATTCCACTCCATAATTGGATCTGGGCTCAGTGATCAAATATGATTTCCCGTGTCTCTGTTATCTGATAGCTAATACTGGGACCGTGTATGTGTGTGTGTGTGTGTTAGCAGGAGAGAGGAAGCTATCTGCAGGTGAAGTCTGAGGCTTATGTGTTTGTGTTGGGAGTGTAGGGGTGAGATTAAGTTCCAGAAAATCTGCTTTGCCATATTATGCATGTGCACATGAGAGCAAGTGTCTGAACTCATTGGCTGTGCTCATGCCCTTCTGTTCTGCATATTTATGTTCACTTTCAATTTGAATGTCAATCAAACTTAGTTAGCATGACAATTAGTAATTGTACTGCCAAGACAATCAGGTAAATCAGTGTATCAATGAATAAATGAATATCTTGAACAAATTATACATATTCATTCATTTCTCTCTCTTTCTCTCTCTCTCTCTCTCTCTCTCTCTCACACACACACACACACACACTGTGTGTGTGTGTGTGTGTGTTTTCAAGTGTATAGAAATGGGCTGTAGGCTGCCTAAGCCACGTGGTTCAGATGAGGCTCCAGGAAAGATCTATTCGACCCTAAGGAAAGCCCAAGTGGAGACGCACACTGGAGTGGCCTACACATACCACTTTCTGGACTTTCTTTTAGGAAAAGAAGGTAGAAACAGGCTTTCTGCTTCCATTTGATTTGTAGTAATAAGAGTTCATTTTGAAAAACAGCTCACTTTCACATCTCCATTATCCATATCTGCATTATAGGTAAAATCAATAAAACTGCAGTTGTGTTTTTATTAAGTAAAAGACAAGTAACAAAATTAAACTTGATGACAAAATATATATATATATATTTTTTGGTAGAAACAGGAACTCCAGTGGTCATTTCATGTTACAGAGTTAAACAAAGTGCAATATTTGACATTCTTCGACATAAAACAAGCAGGAAAAGTGCTGAAAATAGCAGCAAAGCGGCCAGTTAATGGGCAATGTTAAATATCTTCATACTTCGGAAAATCCCAAAGGCTGAATCTCAAATGGCTCACTGCTCCCTATATAGCATGCTGTGTGAATTATGAAATTTTGGCAAACACCCCCAAATATTACACTTTATGTCCAATATGGAATTGTGCACACGTTGCTGAATCCAAAGTGGTTCTTTGTTGGACATACTTAGCGTTACTTAGATGCAGTTGTCATTATTTTAAGACCTACATACTGCACTTTGTAGGGAGAAGGGAGCCATTTGAAATTCTGCCTAAAACAGCTCGTGGCATTGTTGCGTCACCTGCCCCGAATACTGTGTGCTGATCCACTAAACAGATATATCAGGTTCTGCTCAAGAACAGAGCGTTTCACTATTTCTGCTGTAAAACGTGAACTTGCAATGCCTTGACAATGGACAGCAGTGGCTTTTGTGACAAGACATATTTAGAGTTCAGAATGCACTACCTGTTAAGACTCGCAACAGTCAGCTCATTTTTTTTAAAGGATGGCGTATATAAAGTTTTACCAAAGAACTTTTACTTGTATTTTCATATTGTGTTCACCACTAACTTAAAGCATTATCAGTGTTTGAGTATTTTTGTGTTTTGAAAAGCAATAACAAGAATCAGATCATAAAGGGTACTTTTCCGATGTCTCTGCAAACCGTGATTGACAGTGAACCAGTAATACACCATGGCAAATGACTTGGCAGTGACAAATGAAATTAGGAAATGGTCTAATAAACCACAAGCACCAAAGACCATACACACTTGTCTTGGGCAGAAGACAAAGATAACAAAGTGGCTGGTGGTACCCCCTTGCATTATATGACCCACCATGGCATTGCTGCTTTAACTAAACCAGGGTTTTTCAACCTATGGTCCGTAGACCACAAGTGGGCTGTGAAACACCCTCTACTAGTCTGTGAGCCTGTACTCAGGGGGAAGCAGGAATTCGTAGTGGGCCTGTAACGCCACAAAAGATATGGAGAAGTTTCTCAGGGTGCTTTGTTTGGTGTGGACTGATCACACCTTTTCTTTATTTCGCTCCATTTTGACATGTGTAAACACTCCACCCATATTCAGGTCTGCAACAAACAGCTTAACTGGTCTGTCAGAAAATGTGGGTTTCGGTCTGCATCCAACCGAACCTTGGTTCAGTTCACTGCTGATGAAAACACGTTCTGTAATAAATTCAGGGAATTTATCAATAGAGCTGGCTTTCCTTCTCTTCTAGAGGCACATCAGCACTGTACAGTCAGCATAACAACTGGCACAAGCTGCTGTTAAAAACAATAGACAAGCCATAAAATAATGGCTAAGAAATGTGTTTGATTTCAACTCATGAATCCTGGAGCATATATTTGGTCGAGCATCAGCAACCCGAGTGGTTGAACTGAAATTGCTAAACCAATGGCAAAGAAGCAGATATCAAGTAAGATTTATCATTATTGTTGATTGTGACAACACTAATCCAAAACCTTGGTGAGTGGAGTGTGGTTTATTTCAAATAAATCACAAAACCCCTCAAAACTGGAGACATCTCGAGACCAAACAGTTACTCTTTTGGGAAAGCCAGTGGAGTATTTTCAGTGAAAACATGATGGACTGCAGCTCCAAATCACAATCCACATCTACCTATTTTTTAAATACCCGCAAATTTTGCAAACCTACTGACAACCAGAGTGGCCGATCTGATCTTTTTCAGGGCCTTGGTGTGGAAATGGTTGAGAACCCCTGAATGAAACTATCTGATGTGCAAAACATATTAGGGGTTATGCTAATCCTGTCATTTGTTGGATCGTTTATTCAGAGTTGTGTAGTGGTACAAACTCCTACTAATTTAAGCATTTCAAGTCAAATCACAGAATTACCAGAATTGTGTGATTCCTTACTGCTATGAATAAATTCTGATAGTTTCTCAGCTAATTGGACTGCTGCCAACACAAATTCAACATGCTCAATCAGCCAAAACTATGTAGAGTCGACTAGAGCCAATGGCGAAGGACACAATGCACAAACTACAGGCGGTGGTTGGCCACTGATGCTCAAGGACGGCCTGACGTCGTCTGTTGGCCAGCATATTTGTATTGTTGCAGCAAGCTGTTAGCAACTTAGCTATTTGCCATTTAACTTTCTATTTCCCTCTCATTTTACAAGCAGTAACTCCATGATTAGAAGAATTATCAGAAATTTAAGCAGTTTCAATTAATGAGCTGGTTGACTTGTCCATGCTCTGCCCACAAATGTGTTCTTTCATTGCAACTGTTGCCAAGTTGGACAAGTTTTATAGAATATTGGAAAAAGTCCAATTCAGCCTAATCAGAGTTTGTAACTCATTTTTTTATTAGACTATCAAATACAATGTGGTGTTTTTTAAATGCTGAAGAATTTGTGTGTTGAGAGAGGCTGCATTGTTAGGATGTTAGCTCGAATATAGTTTTTGTCGTGTGATCTCACCCAGCTTTACAGCTAAATCACGTGTCTGTGATCCCTAACTTTCTGACACTATTTTTCTCTCTCTGTGATTCTTAACCAAGTAGCTTGAATTTATTGATGTGGTTTGAGGCAACAGCTCATGATTTGTGTTTGTGTTGTGTGTGTGGCAAGTACATGGGGCAATGGTTATCTGCAAATCCCTTAGAGTAGCAGTACTACAGTGCTCTACACTCCCAAAACATCCAGACACCTCTTCTAATTAGTTAATTCAGTTACTTTAAGGCGTGCCCATTGCTGACACAAGTTCAGTTGCGCACACGGTTTGTATAATCTCCACAGAAAAATAGGTACTGGTACAGGTACTTTAGGGAGTTGTGTTCTACAATTTCTCATGAATTTGGATTTTTGCCAGGCTAAGTTTACAGTGGTAGCTGGAAAAAAAACATGGGTAGGTCAATTAATAAGCCCCTCATGAGCTGAAACTGATAAGATTTACACAGCTGTATGTTCTAGGAACTCTTGGGAAGCCCTAGTAACCTTTAGATGTTAGTACATACATAGCATTTATCTGTATAACACGCACTAGTACTGTGTAAACAAAGTGTTCTAAGTGTCGCTAACATTTATATAAACGACCCATTTCCAAAGAAGTGGGGACACTGTAAAATGTAAATAAAAAAAGTTCCAGTGACTTACATTAAAAGTAGAGCTGGGCGATATGGCCAAAAATGTTATCACGATAAACAAAATTTATATTGTTCGATATCGATACATATCGCGATAAATGTCAAATCATTATTTCTTTCAAGTTTGAAGGCTGATTTTTGCTCCTGGGTGGTTAATTGCTGTTTTAAACTATCCTTTATGGTCGGAACACGACAAACACTCGCCAAACAGTGGAACATTTCACAAATCTGTCATGGGATAGTGGGAGAGAGTGTCTGCTGAGCTGTTTTTACCAGCTGGAAAAGCATGGCTATTTTGTAATAGTCATAATTTAAGAAAGAAAACAGATTATTTTTAGCTGGTGACGAGCGCTCGGCTATCCCGTTACAAATGACATCACAGTATTCAGACACCAGCTGGCGACGACTGGATATTCAATTGTAGTAGTTTAAGGGGTGAACCGCAAAATATCAACACCAGACAAACAGAGTCCTCCTTTTAGGTATGTTTAAACTGAAAGCGGTGCTTTTGTGTCGTGTTTGATCTACAGTATCATTAATTCGCCGTGTCGTGCAGTGACGAAGCGCTGCTTTAAGTTAGCCAGCTGCTAAAAACAGCTAGCCTGGAAAGATAGCGCTCTCCCGCTCTCCAATGCCTCACAGCTTCCTCAGTTTACTTTTGTTTACATCAGGGCCGTAACTGCATGAACACACTTCTTGCTTTCACTTTCGTTGCTTGGGAATGCACTCATACTTAAATATGACTATCCGAGCGCTGTAACAGCGCTGTAGTTGTGAGGATTGTGATTTAACGCTGCTAAAGCTGTTAGGATGTACAGAAAGAGGTGAGTTCGCTGTAGGACAGTACAGTTACACCACTGACCTCGTCACTCACACTCGGTCACAGGAGAACAGATCGCCTGTCGCTCCGCTCAAACAGGGAATGTATAACTCCGTGTTTCAGCCGTTGCTAAAGACCTATCTTACTCGTGGCCCCCTCCCTCTGTAATCATGTAGAAAAACTCGGAAGTGCGCCCTCTCCTGGCGATAGCAGAGTAGTGTCGCTTTCCTTGCAGTAGAAAACGCCACCAAGGCTTTCGCTGAACGTGGAAGTGTGAGAACGGTGTATTATATCGAACATTTATCAAACATGTCGTATCGCTCTATCGAGGAAAAGTTATATTGCGATAATTATCGTTATCGTTTTATCGCCCAGCCCTAATTAAAAGTAAAGTATGTTTTTTCTTTCTCCTATAAAGTCATCATTTTGGAGATACGAGGTTTACTTCCAACAATAGCGATATGCAACAACTCGTATGTCTTAAGTGTAATATGTCCTATTTGACCTGAATTTTTTTGTCAGAGAAAGTGTAGTAATGTAATATGTAGGCCTTTCACAATTGTTACATAAACATCTGATCACAGTTGTTTGAGCTGATTACATTTTTTTTTAATTGATCAGTTAGTTTTTACAGTTCAGTTTCACAGACATATGAAAACGTAAATACACCGCATACAAAGTTTGGACTTCTCAACATATTTAGAATTACAGATATCAAGTCTTAATTTAAACA